TGTTTGTGAACTGTATCCCGCAAAAGAAATTCAACTGTTCCATGCTGCTCAATCCAAGATCATGGCATTTCATATACTGATCATTGGTCATAAGGTAACTGATCTAAAATACTGATTTTATAGAAGGCTAGGTTTAAACTAGTTTTAAAAGATTAATGTTTCGCAACTATTAATTCTTGCTATTATGTTCTAGTTTCAGTGCTGCTCTGTGATTTATCCATCTTGCTCCCATTCATCCCGTAGAGGGGTGAAAGAGGTGAATTTTGTTGACTTATTTACAATCTGCATTTAGGAACTGTAGGGAGATGCATAAAAGAGTTTTCCAAATTAGTCATTTCTGGTGCAGGTTTAGCTATTGGCAGCATTCTCTTAGGGCGGGGAATAGGGTAAATGTCAAAGTTGGGACTCAACTTCAGCCTCCCCTTAAAATTTATCCTAAATTTTATCATCTGCTGCCAATACCTTTTTTTCTTTTTCTCTCTGTAATATTCATGCATAAAGATACAAACTTTTGTACTTTAGGACCGGATTAGTTTTCCGCCTCTACCTATGTAATTCCTCCAGACATTTCTAAACTCCTAGCAGGCCAAAGTACTTCTAAGAGACATATTACCATCTCACAGAATGATTAGAAGTCTACTAGCATTCCTGGTGACTATATGACAGAGCAATATTATGGTTCTCGGGGATTGATATGCTTGCGTATTTTATTAAGCAGTTGAACAAAACGTTAAACCATTACGTTATTTTAACTGCTATTTTTAAAGTTACGTTCTTCGATTCCAAACATTCTTACAGGCTACGTCACGTAAATTTATTTCTTATAAATAATTTGTTTTTACGAAACAATGCATTTGTGTTTAGCTAAGTTGTTGGGATGCATTTAATATGCAGAAACAAATGAAGCAGTCAGCTAGTAGTAGCACCAACGAATTAACCGGCTCGAATTCGCGATCAAAGACTTGGGGTAAGGCCTAGCCCATCTGAAATTAATTCACACTGTGCGCTCCAAAGCGAGGACGGCAAAGGAATTGTGTGCATGCTGCTTAAACGAAACATAGGTAATGCTTTAACGATTTGTTTGTTTCTTCATCTTGTATACGCGGGTACTTAAAGCCCGCCAGCGGTTTTACCACAGCTCCTCTGTACATTAGCCATGCACTTTCTGTCCTAGAATTATTACTTCTCGCGTCTTCAAGATGGACATGGAGCGGTAAACAAGCTCACACACGTGAATGCTTAATATGTGGAGGCTACTATCTATCTGAGTCGAGATGACCTTAACTTTGCGACAGAGACGAGGACTTGTCGCCAAAGGGTAAATGTGGAGGAGTGGTAATCACTGCATAATTTGAAGGGCATTAAATAGCATTGAAAAGGACAGGACGAACAAACAAATGTCCCCCAGGCATTCTTTTATAAAAGGATCAACTAAAAGTAGCCAGTAAAAGGCTGAGGGCACTACGCGAAATCCGTTCTAAACCAAATTTAAAGTTACTAAATCGACAGAACAAATAGTACAAAATGGGCGAATCTTTGACCATTTATATTGGGCACTTGATTTATAATAAACTGTCAAGCAAAATGTAATTTCTACTTGACTCACTTTACTCTTCCGGGTAGGAAACAAGTTCAGAATGCATGCTAGATTAAAAAATCAGCAACACAAGTTCAAAGAAGTGGGGGCTAATTTTAAGTTTACCAATGCACCAACCTTTTATTGGTACGCTTTGATCTATCATACTTATAATACTCGTTTTCTTCAAGCGCCGATTTAGTGTTGCAATTTACGTTGAAATTGCATGCCAGTAGTCAAAGTGAATTTTTCAGGAAACCAGCACAGGTATGTATTCCTACAAAATGAAAATTTTGCTAATGTGCATAAAACAAAAAGCGGCATCTTCTACATAGCAATTTGAGTGAATACAGTGAGAATAATATCGTCTTTGCATCCAGTATCAATGGCATTGTATGGATTGGCTCTAATCTAAGGTCATGGTCACTACGGACGCTTTCAATCGTGCACCAATAGTTGGCGCATATTTGGTTTGTCGACGTCTTCGTGCATTCCATGCGTTGATCAAAAATGAGTAATTTCCAGGATGAACAGAACTTAAATCGTGTGCACCAACTGATCGATGAGGTATCCCGAAATGTGCTCATTTGTTTCTTTTAGTTTTTTGACTACTACAGTATGGACAAGACCAGAAATAGTTTGGCTGAAGAGTGGCAAATGGTAAAAAATGAAAGAACTGGTTTTAGAGATGATTGGAAGGTATAAAAACAGTTGAATTTAAAATGTCAGGTTTTTTTACTTAAAGCCTTTGATAAAGGTGACTTCCAGGACTTTCGTAATTGCTGGAACGACCACTTCGGTGGAGATTCCGGGGAGACCATGAAAGTTCGACCTTTAGAATTCTATTTGCAGCTTTATTTTATCACTGTCAACTGGGATTCAGACTCTGAGGTGCGCACACCTTTTTGCCTTTGATTTTGCTTAGGTCAAACGGAAAGAGCGTCTTCAAGACTTCCGAGAATTTCTGGACACAAAGGGCAAAGTGTTGAGTCAGATTTCCGAGTTCCTACCATTCTTTGCATTCCCGTACGTAGAAAATCCAAAACTGCACCCAGTATACCGAGAGTTATTTGAACCAGACTGGAATGGTGAATTAAAGCGCAAACTGATGGCTTTTCTTGAACCTTCTAAAGATGATAAGCGCCTGCTGCCGAAAATACTGTCTTTATCATCCCGACCCAAGGAGGTTCCAAACAATCAGGAAAGGCAACTGCAGGTTATTCTTTAAGTCATATTCCAGTATTTGTCCACCTAGTTGAGTTCTACCATAGAATTGTGTCTGTGTTTTTAGACTAAATTTTATGTGAATGCAACCAACATGAAATGTATATAGAACCAATTTACATATTTGATGTTTGCAAGTTTTGTTGTGTGGGCAAATAATGTTGTAAATATGGCTTTATGAACATTGAACAAAATGCAGGCGCAATGTGAGAATTTACTAAAAGGAAACCATTTTATTTTCAAATCATAGTGCTTTTTGACTGTAATTGACCCCAAAAATGCATTGTAACTAAATAAAGTTAATCTTTAATAGTTTCGCATTGCTTACCTGCATATGAAACCGAAATTAGGTTTACTTTCCTCTTATAGCTATGCGTGTGCAAAATAATCAGTTAACTAAACCTGCATATGCACTAAAATTTATACTGTATAAACATCAAGAAGTGGGAACGGATAAAAATGTCAAAGTAATCAAATGGAGTAAAAGTATTAGGAATCTATAATAAAATGTCTGAGCTAAAAAGTGGTCAATTTATAGCCAGTAATTTGACATTCATCCCATTGCGGAAGGCTTACGAACTCAAAATTGTCCACTTCCATGTTTTTATCGACAAACTTAAGCACTTTGGGTCCACAACACTCGAGTTGCCTCGTAGGTTATGCGAGTCTTAAAACAGTTTTCTCGTAAACGTGCGTTTGGGCTGAAAGACCGATAGCCTCTCTGTTACTCTTGTAAGGATTAAATAGCTGGTAAACGAAAATGATCAAGTAGTTGTACCTCTAGCTTAAATAAATACATCATTTCTATGAGACGCTCCATTTAGATTTGTTCATTCCAAAGCATTCCAATATTTTCTATCTTTACCGAATCGCCTAGTTGTGTTTTGGAATTCTGCCATCTCGGAGACTGCTTTGCCAGTGGAACTGTGGATATAATTAAAACAAGTATTCCCCGCAAGTTCAGACAGCTTCTTATGTTTTAAAATCGTCTAGACGATGCAGAGCAGTGAGTGTTTAAACCACTAACTTATGGTACTCTAGCTACTAATAAAGGTATTAGCTGTGCTATCTGCATACAAAAAGGTTAAGAAGCTAGTAGCCATTGGATAAACAGCATTCCATGTCGTCGTTGTTGAGTCGTGTCGCAAGAGACTTAAAAAGGTCTGCGTCGAACCCCACAGAACTGCTTAATCGGGAAGATGTAATTGAACATAATTATGTAAGTAGGAATATTATGAATGCACAGAAAGCTAGAACACTACTGACGTAAGTGCCAGGCGAAGAACTCTGTGATAACAACCAGCAGTTGAGGGGGTCCGCGTATGATTATGCACGCTTTCGAGAATACCCTAATCACATCCATCATTGAAGAACCGGCTAGTGAATGAAAGTTAACTAACCAGCGATACCGTGTTTAAGCATCCCAATTACGTCCACAGTCGTTGTTATGTCCTTAAAGTGCGGTTAAAGCGCTATTCACAGGTCGCCGGCTTACAGATTGGGATTAGCCCCGGAATCGTATATACGGCTAAAACAGTGGTCATAAGGTAGCTCCTTTTCAATCCATTTGAAACTTTCCATTTTTCCAGAATCGCCTCGCAGACGCTGAGCGACGGGTAGCCCAATCCCATCAGCGTTTCACCAAAATCCAGAATGACTATCAGACCCTGCTGGGGATCACCACGGATCTGGTGGACACACTAGAGGGGGCACTGCGAGGCGATCACATCGAGCCCAATGTGTTGCAGCAGATCTGCTCACGTCTTGTCGCCTCTCAACGTGCTCCTGGTGGTGGTGTAGGTAGTAGTGGTGCCTTTGGAGACACCCTCACGCAGGCTCACACCTATTCCACCAATTTCAGCTACGGTGACACGCTTCGACAGTCACTTTCTCTGCGACTCCCGCAGGAAAGTGGGGGGTTAGTTATATGTGAGGTGACAATTGCTAGTAACTCGACAGGCGTGATTCCAAAGTACTTCTTTGATGACGCTCTTTGATACAAGTAGCTTACTTTAGCACTAATTTGAAGCAGTAGGTCTTACTTCATCTGTGTCTTTCTAATTTTCGCTTCAGATATCAGCAAGAATGGGGAACAGCGGAGCTTGATTTTGACAAGATAAATGACGCTCTAAAGGGTCCAAATCAGACACAAATCTGGCGTCTTTTACAGGCCCTTCGATGGGTAGGCTTGATCTGGTCTTGTACATTTGTACAAGCCACTGCAAAATAATAAGCTAGGCAGCGCCAATGCTAAAGTCTGCCACCGCTTATTTCCATTACTAAATGATCAGATAATTTCAAATCATAATGGAAATTCCACGGTTAATCAGTAAACCAATGATGTTGTCTTCAGTGTCGATCTCCTCATGTACTTCCCGTTATTTTGACGCATACCACCTTCCTCTTACCTTGAACTCCTACATCAGTAGATGTCAGCTGAATCTGACAAATTCTGATTCGAGCTCGTCCACCTTACGTACCGACTCTAACTCGATTGTAGAACCTGACTTATTGTACAATTTGTTGGGTAGAATTTGGAGAAGATTACATCTATGTCAGCGGAACGCAATTTTCACTTGACTCACATAGTTCTCCTACAATTCAGCGCCTAACCAAGACAAACGTCGAGCTGCGAGAGGCCTATCTGACCGAGTTCATCGGTCACGACCTCCTCGATTTAACCCTCTGGAGTGATGACAGCCGTCGACAGCACCACTTGAGCGTGCTGGAGCACTGTCTCTGCAGCGTGTCCCCCAAGGTCACTGAAACGACCTCCCGATTAGTCAATGCGCTGGCTTCCCTATCTCGTGGCCGCGCCTACCTCGCTCAAAATGTTGCGGTGGTCACTCTACTGAGTCAAGAGATTTTCCGTCTCGAAGGTGGTCACGAATCCGCCACAAGGGAGAATCTTATTGGTGCTTTACAGAAACTCAGTCTCAGGTGCGTCTGTACCGTTTACTTGAGATCATAGAAGGGCTTGTAGTCATTTTCTATGCAATTACTGAGATTGCATATTTCCCTGCCTATCCGCTGGCTACAGGTTACTGACCTAAATCTGGCCTTTGGGGGACAAATATGGTGCTGCGATTGGGTGCGTAAGAAACATATAATTGAACTTGCAAGCTGTCATCAAGTATGGACTTCATTCAAGCAAATTAGGAACTTTCTGTCTTACAGAAATACGGTGAAAGTGATGCTATTTTGGCTGTAGCAGTAGGTGTATCTTAATACATACTAAAAGCAGGCGTACATGTTGTAGGTTAGTCCAATCCAAACACTCCCAGTTAAGATGGAATGCAACAGTGGTGCTGTGTGAATTGACCGCACAATCAGCAGTGAAGTTTCTTATAAAGGATAGTGCAAAACTCTTGGATATGTACTAAAATTCTTGAGCATAATAAGGTGATAGGGCATTTTTGGTAAAACATTCTAGTGATGTAAACGATTCAAAGACGCCGCGTCATGGTGGTTTCCAGCTCATGGGTTCCTTTAGCGATGCATAAGAGCATTCAGCTGTTGCGTGAAGCGATTGATTCTGGACGCCTGCTGTAAAAGCGATCAGGAGGCGGTTCTTCATATGAGAATGTTGAACATAATCGTCCTTGATTGTTCACTTTTTGGAATTGTTAGTGCTCCAGATGACCGGGTTGCATTAGGTCAGCTCAATTGTAATGACAAAATGTCGAATGCTTGGTTAAATAAATAAGTATTGACGGGGTAACGCTCGGCAAGAAACGCCCTTTCTATTTCCTAAAAGGTGACATTTCCCTTCCAAAACCGGAATTTTAGACTTGGCGTGAATACTCCTTTCATATGGCCTAATCTCATCAAACTCTAGTCCGTATGTCTGTTAGTATTTCAGCATACATTTACACTTCAACAATGTTAAGTCTTTTATTTACCTAACAATTTCCTTAATTTCCCATTACTTACACTTTAGCCAGGAAATTGCAAGCCACCCAAGCAGCATTGAGAATTGGTGGGCTTCACATTATAAATATGAAAATGATAGCGTCATTATTGTTTGTCGTTGCTAGGCAATGTCCAACAACACTAGTCCTGTTGTTATAATGTACAGGAAACGAGCAGCTCTCCGCATCGTTCTAGAGAGCTTTGGGTGACAGCAAGGGAAGCCTTCCTCAAGTTTTCAATATTCTGCGTTCAAAATATTGAGATTTGCAAACAATAAAACACGACGGGACAAATGGTTGCTTAATGTTTGACAATCCAAAAACAATCATGGTTAAGTTCCACAATGATGAAATGGCCTTTAATTTTATGCGCTTAATTTTTCGTTTGCACATTTGAGTTACATGAAGAGGAAGTGGTTAAAAAGGCTTGAAAGGTTTGTTTTAAGCAATAGTAATCTGGTCACGTCTCTGAAAATGTTCATGAAATGATAAAAATTTCTGAGTAGATAACGCCGATATCGGCAGACATTTGATAAACGTGGAGATCACTTACGTTTTAAATAAAAAGTTCTTCAATACTTCTTATGGAGAAAGAGATGTGGTATAAGAAGGCACTTTCAGAAAGGCTGGAGAATGACTATACCCCGCATTTTCAGACGCTCCATGCAGACAAAGATGACGGAGTTGGGCATGGTGGAGTGGCTGGTGGATCTCCTCGAGGACACGGACAGTCTCTCTGACTACAGCCTCGAATATGCGGTTGCGCTTTTTATGAACCTCTGTCTCCGAACCGCGGGTAATTTATCACAATTTTAAGGACTAGGCCAAACTGCTATTTTTTGGCTAGAAATGGCTTGATATTGGAACCATATTTTTAATTATAACCGATGTATGCATACGCGCGACCCACTTCGGTAAACTGATCAGATTTTAGTAAACAATACGTGATTTTGGCATCATTTTGGCGGTCGTAGACCGAATTTCCTCAAGTTCGGCCAGTGGCCCAGAAGGCCAACTAGGTGGCTTGTTGGGGCTCGTTCTACTGTGGGGTGTACTTGTGAGACCGAGTTGTTCTGTTTGGCCTGAAAATGGCAAAAATGGGTAATTATGAACTTAGAATTCGGACACACTTGAACTAGACACTCCTTTTAAAATATTACTCTAAAAACCCACTTGTTTTTTTTTTTAAATTCGGTAGAATTGCTGGGCAAGGTCTAATTGGTATTCACCTGGGCCTAATTTTTATTCCGCATCTTTGAAAATAAGCTGCCTACGGAGATAAAATCAGTGAAGTAAATTGGCTTTGACTTTAAAAGGTCATCCATATTTGTTTAGACGATTACAACTTTTGAGTCGTGTTTAAATTTGGAATTTAAAACCACATTCCCAGAAGACGATTGAATTATTGGATCCATTGTAGATTGAGATATTTCTAACCAATCCAAAAGTAGAATTAATTCACTTAAGTAAAATCAGTATTATCCAATTATCAGACTTTAGCGTCTCGAGACTTCTTTGAAGACCAAGGAAGACATAATACTCGGGCAGAATGTGCATTATCGGCGCACGGAAGAGCTGGAGGCTACTAATGTCACGCAGAAGCCATTCTGCCTAATGGAAGTATAAAGGCGGAGCCTCAAGTGTCCTTGAAACCAAAATGAAGAGTTGAACAAATAACCAAAACATTGCATGTGCCGCACAACTTATTTTAGGTACAAAACTGGCCAGTGAATAAAAAGGGGAATTAACATCTGATTGGCCTCAAAGAGCAAACTAACGTGGCTAGACCTTGAACCTAGGCTCAAGTGATTTTTCCCCAAAGCAAAGCACCGTCTAATGCTTACCTGTAAAATTAGTTTTAAAGTAATATCATTGTGGGAAATGAAAAACAAAGCGTTCAATAGTAGGCTCAATTTCTTTGCAAAAAATACGCCTAAATTATATTGATGAGGGTGTGTTCTGTCATTGTAGCCATTCAGTCTTAACAATCTATTCAACTTTGAGGTCAAAAGACTTGAATATTCTTAAATTTGAAACGTAAACACGTTGAGTTTCAACCATCCTTACACCACTCTTAACGAAAGTAATGATTTTATACGATTCAGCATCTTATCCAAGCAACTTGGCATTGAGATGCACAGCCTTACTGTGAGATTCACACGAGATTTCCGCGAATTCTGCTTTTATCTGAGGTTACTCTTTAGAAGCTAGCACTACCCACCTGCACTTCTATCTCCCTCTTATTTTCTTGCTGTCCGTTCTGGCTCGGCTGTTATCGTGAGGTCGTCGTCCGTTGGAGTACTATTGTCAAGGGAACATGGAGAATGAGGAGGAGATGAGGTAGTGCACATCTTCTCATGGTCCAGTTTTGCGGTGCGCAGTTATAAGGTCTTTCCACTGAGGAAGGTTTTCTTTCACACCTTCGACTTTTATCAAGCAGGCAAATTGGTAAATCCTAGTCGAACTTGTTGCTTGGTCTCCAAAAAGTGAACGACTGAAGCTTCCAAGCTCCAAACATACACACAAAGTCATTTAGCAAGTATAGAGGACAAAATGGTGCATATCTTCTCATCATACATCAGTCAGTCAGTAAGTCACTTGAATTAGGCGTAAATCAACTGCTTTTGCACCACCTACCTTAAACCCCACTGAAGCTTGATCTTGACTCTTTCACCTCTGATGACCTCAATCCATGATGACACTTAATTCCTCCTCACCACCAAGATTAGAGAGTCTTCCTGAATGCAATACGCTCTTGGGTGACTCGTTGCCAGAATCTTTCAAATTGTTTATTTAAATCATTTCTGGGTGATAGGTCATGCTGCTCAAGGACCAGGCCTTCTCCAAGTAAGGAAAGCCAACTTTTGCAGCTCGTCATTTGAGTTTGACTCGATTAATGAAGCGAATGTACTTATTTATGGTATAAATGAGTTGCAGCATGCATTTGACAAGTTGCTACAAGTTACAAGAGGCTATCTTATCGAGCGTTGACAAGCCCTAATCGTTCAGCCATCCAAAAGTTTTTTTGTGGTGAACCAGGTCTTTGAAGAACGTGGTTTCTTAAAAGTAAGTAGGATCAGTTCAAATCAACTCGATGTTGAGGTAAGCACGCAAACTTGGAATTTAGTTCTTTTTATGAAGGATGAGGAGAGATTCGGAAATGAATGAATGAATAAATGAAACCCGGTTTCTCTTATAGGTAAAGCGCGCTGCGTTCCAATGGCCGACCGGGTGCTCAAAGTTCTAACTGATCTGATCAGTCATGAGAACACCAACATTCTCTCCTACGTGAACGGGGCCCTTTTTTCACTTCTAACTCGACCGGAAATACAGGCCACTGCTGAGTCTATGGTAGGCATTCTTACCGCGAGTCAACTAATAACACTCTTTGAAAATAACCTCAATTGTGTCAGCAGTTCGCAAAATATTATGAAGATCATGCATTGAGTATTTGACATCGTTAAGCTAAACGATCGCATCAACGTGATATCCTTGGTCAAAACTTGGTGATAGGATCTAATGCTCCGTTGAAACCCTGCATTTCTTCAGACACTCGAATCAGCTATGCTTGAAGTAGATCATTCAGTGATCAATAGAAGCTTAATTTTCCTTAAGTTGTAGGAAAGTCGGAAACTAAGGACGCAGCTTTACGTATCACACTGCAACTATAATAACTCTCACCCCACCGAAATACTAGAACAGTCGGATAGTATTTAAAAGCGTTTATTTCATATGAACGTCTACAAGAGCAAACTATCCACCCTTTACTTAGCGATGATAATGAAGTAGAAAATTTCATTTTCACTCATTGATTGTTTGCATGGAACTTGCGCTATGCGGAACCTGGAAGATTGAATGCAGCGCCCAGCATGCTCATTGGGAAAATGTTTGCATAAAATGGGTTGAAGTAACCGGGAAGTCGACAGACGAATCACTGATAGATAAGGGGATCATCTATACCCTGATATAGATGGCACGACTCACTGTAGCCAGACACTCCATGTGTAATTGGATTCTAACTTCTTTTGCAGGACTTGGAGGGTATTTTGTCCTGTTTCATGCGAGAGGATCAACAGGAGCTGAATCGTCAGTTTGAATACACATCATCAAACAGATGCATACGAGTGCGTATGAGACCCAAATTCCCTTCACCTCCTTAAATTGTAGAAAAAATTGAGGAAAGTCATTTGTTGTTTGGCTTTTAGGTGATCACAATGAAGACGGCGCCTCCGACGATGACGAAAATGACGATGATGACGACGACGATGAGGTTGCTTTTTGGACATTTTGGTGCCAAAATTGAGCATTTTACAAACCTAAGATAGGCAAACTAATAAATAGGGTTATTTTTTCATACTTTTCTCCTGAGAACGGCGAGAGACAGCTCCTATCACCCTGCAAACCTGATAATAATCCATCATGATCTGGAAATATCCCAATGCATGGATATAAGCTTCCTAGATCAACTTAGAGGAGATCAAATATTATTGTTTAAGATCTCATAACACGTTAGATTCAAGGCTGAAAATTCGTTTTCATTCCATCAGACTAGACCTTGAGTTTTCCTGCCTCCACGAAATCCCTCCCTTTCTTCTCCTCATCACGAATACACCCAAACTGAGCACCGCTTCTCTGAAAGACAATTGTAGCTGTTTTATTTGATCCAATATAAGTAACCCTCAGCGGATAGGTGGATTCCATTTAGTCTTGCCGCACACACAGCTTCTACCAGTTGCTATGGGAGAGGAGTTGGGAGTTAGCGTGTGGCGTCGGGTCTTGTCACTGTCTTCGGTCGTGATGAGAGGTGTCGATTACTTTTAGGTCATATTTAAATGGTAACATTATAGCAACCTGGATCTATTTCCTCCATATTTCAAATACGATGAGCCAGATATCAAACAGTAGGTGGCCCAGAGTCCCAGCCTCACCAATCACAGTATATTATTGCATTTCCATTTTGAATAATTTTTACCATACTATATCTACTGTCAGTGAGTGAAAAGAATGTGACGCATTGTTTCTGGACCTTTTTATATGTCAATAAGTTCAGAATCAGCTTATCAAATCATTGATGTGAATGGGGTCATGTTGTTAAAATATGGTCGGTCAGGGACCTTTTAACCAGCCGGAAGTAAATTGGACGGATCATTCTGCTAATCATCTTATCCGTCTCCTTCTCCCACTAGGAGGATGGAGCACAAATGGAAAGTGATATAGATCGCGGTGATGATATCACAGACAACAAGGAGAATGCCTTAGAGGGGTCCGTGGTGGGTGAAAATCTCCTTAGGGAGCGTTTTTTGAAGAAATCGGCAGCAGGAGCAGTAGATGGCAAGAAGGCGGGGAGGTCTGGCGGAACCTCCCCACTGTCGCTGCCTCCACCATCCTCATCACAGCCGCCTCTGCCATACGGTGGTCACGTGCGCCACACCGAGAATGACGCGGTAGTGAGCAACAACGTCGGTCTCCTTCGACGGCCTTCCACACCTAGTAGGAAACGATTCTCTGGCTCGCATATACCCAAGCCCGTCACCACGACCAAGCAACAGACTTCTCGGTCAGTCAGTTACTTAGATTGTGCATGATAGTTCCTCAGCCCGAATTAGAATGTGAATCATCTCTCCCAGCCTTATAAACAATATGACAATAGCAGCCACGGTAAATGAACAGTCTTTTTGCAAATACAGCATCGAGTCTGTGCTCTGTTGTTGATTACTGAGTAGAGAATAATGCGCTTTCCTGTTTCTCAATCTTGCCTTTTGGAATGATGCTAAAAACTAAAATCTATTTAAATAATTATAATCGACTTTTGTTGTCTTTTTGAAGGTGTATGTTTCCCGCTGTACGATTATTCCTCCCCAATTTTGATCTGCAAGAGGCATTTGAGAATTGTTAAATAACCTTGATTTTTTAATCATAAAGTAGTAGTTGCGCACACAGACATGGCGTAGAAGTCAGACTGGATTCTTTTGATTGCAGATTATCTTCTAAGACACATAACAGACCCCCACAAGTCGTGGAAGAGACTCCCACAAGAGGTCGAATCGCAATGCAGCATACAGGTACATGTTCCAATCCCTCCCTCCTTCCTCCGTTCATGGTGTTTCATTTCTCTTTATCATAGAAGTACTTTACTGAAGCGGTTGACATTCCTTAGGCACCAGAAAATACAGCTGCCGCATCCAACAGAAGTAATAAACATGCTCTTTGCTTATCTGAACAGAGCCACAACAATCGAATAGTCGTAGAGACTCGATATCAACGATTGAATCAAAAAAGAAGACAATCGAGAACCACCCAGAGTACCAGAAGGCCTTCAATAGCCGACCGAAGCTGCTTCGCACACCGGAGCACAAACGCATCACCTCTTCAATGGATCCTATCGATATACGTGGCGGGGATAGAGTCTCCAGATCACGACCTGCATCAGGTACGTTGGCCTTCTGACGGTAACACACCCCATTTCTCCCTAGGTCGAACGAGCATGGAGTATAACAACCGGTGAATTCATCAGTGTCCATCGATCTCCTGTCATTGCATTGAATCATTGTATAAAGTGGGCAAACGATGCGTTTGTGTATATCACAATTGTTACCACGCCTCATTTCTGTGACCATTTCTTATACTTGTTTTAAACGCCATCTACCAAGAAGTAGATATTCATTTACCCACCGACTTTTGCAGCCTTCGTAGCAGTATTATGGAATTGCCACAGAAAGAATGCATTTTCACGAAATATCTCTACCTAATTACGATAATTTGATGTTTGTAAATAAGTTGCAGAGAAGTGGATCAGAAGTACGATGTCAGTTTGAAGGGATATGACAGCAAGGAACAGTATGGAAATTGCCCAAGCATACCGATATGTTCCTAAGAAAATGAAAATTCAACTTTTGAAACATCTGTGTGTCATACTCGCCGAAACCGTTGGCCCAATGTGTGTGAGTAACAAAGACAGGTCATTGATAGTGGCTACTTCCACACGAGAGATGGAGCTGCCAATGGCGACTGTTGCTGTTGACCCAACCACCGAGACGCTGAGATCATAGAGAGATAAGAATTATGATAATTAAATTTAATGCAACACTATTTAAAACGACCTAAAATAATACTTAATTTTTCAAGCTTGGTTCCCAAATAGCAAAAAAGGGAAGAAAATATTCCTAAATAAGCCAATTCTATGTGAGGTCTACGGTGCCACGACGATGCAAATGGTCTGTGTGAGCCAGTCAGTGGGCTGCTAGTTAACACTTGAAGGTCTCCCGTGGATGAAGGTTACGTCAGTTGCATAATTCATCAACTCTCCTTTGGAGTAATCAAGGAGATGAGCAGTTCTGGAATGGCTAGGTCTTTGCAGACTGGTTACAGATTATGTCGGTCGAATGTGAAGAATGTGAGGGGTGTGACAAAAGTTACAGCAAAGGAACTGCAATCACAACCATCCCAAAGTGACGGTTCGGACGACGTCAGAGCTTCCACGGAACCGCATGATATCGTTCTTTCCATGGGGGGGGGGAGTCATTTTGAACATTTGCGAGTAGGACAAGTTAGTGCACAATGGTTAGATGAAGTAGGCTGCACTGGAATCATTCGACCAAACTGATAAAAGTTTTCCTTTTGAAGTTATCCTCTTGCTACTTTAACGCCTGGATAGAGATATGAATGTGATAGTGAACGATATCGAATGAGGGACATGGTTGGCAGTCACCGTCACCAAAATGAGTTACCTTCCTTTATAAACTCCAGAATCCCAGTTTGAGTTGAACTGCAGTTCTGGTCAAAGCACTCGTAAGCACTTTCTGTCCAACATTCCTGCACTGTTACGGTCACTGCCTATCTTTGATATACGCTGGTTCACACCACCAATATGCTAAAGTGGTAGCGTGGTAGTACTACCGGAAGAGAAGAATTCAGGTTTTTTTAAGATCTACACGATGTCTTTCAAGGCTTACTTGTTGACGGACGGAGATAAATCCAGACATGAAGTGTGGTACCTTCAAGTCTTCCGGTACTGTCCAGTCTATCTTACTATCTTGATTTGTTCTGCTTCCTCTCATCAAATCGAATAGACAAGAATCAAGTAGAGTTAAGTCAAAACAACTAGAATTTGCCTTATGATTGCAGTTGACTTGAAAAGCAGCTCTAAAAAGCAAAGAAAAAGGCGAATCGCGAAATCCAAGCATGTTTTCAAATTCATTCCACAAGTTTAAGGATCCGCTCCACCTTCCACATCATATGCTATTTCATCGTTGACCTAGTCTCCACGAGGGGACCATTTTTTTCCTGTCACTCTGGTAAGTCGAAAATGTTGAATCTGACGTGATGTTCGGCAAGCTAGGAGATTAAGCTGCACTGAAATCACATTTCATCAACACGGTAAGACATGGATTCTGCAGCAAAGTTGCCACTTCTTTCACACAACTGTGCTTCTCATGATAAATGCGCGTCTCTAAGCTGGGCGAAACGGGAATCTTGTTCTGGCACACTTTGTGAAGATCAGCCATTAGAAAAGTAGCAAAAAAGATGGAAGTTACGATTCGTTGGTAGTGGGATCCATTAATTAACTTTGGTATCGGGTGAGGGAACATACTAAATATTTATACCATACTGTTTTGGCCTGTAATCGTGTAATTGAGGCGATATATCTATTTGGCAAATTCAGTTCCTCTGAAAGGAGCAGCCCACTTCAGACGCACTCTCCAAATCCCTTTCTCATCAATTCACTGCTGTTGGTCCACGTGTCCTACTGTTGCTCAAATTGTGTGTGTCAGGGAGGTGAATTGCGGGAGAGAAATACGGAAAAAGATAGATGAAATTAGAAAAGTGGGACGTCTGGACTAAAGGCAACCCTAACCCATACCTGCGGATGCCAATTTCAATCTCCCCTGACCCCTCACCTAATGCATCCTCATTCGAGAAGGCAAAGGTCGAAGACGTCACAAATAAGCTTTAAGAACTGACTGACGCTTCCAAAGGTATTAAGACTATTAACCCAATTCTATTTGCTACCGCCCTTCAATGAGCTTCTCCTTCTCCATTTCATTTTTCCATTCCACTTGCCTTTTGAACGGTCATTGCTAATCCACATGCTCTTCTGACTATCTCGTTGCCCTGGTCTAGCAAAAATTTGGAATAGATGAATTGCTAGTATAATGAGGGGAAAAATGAAAGAAATGATTAGGTGTTGCTAAGTGGAAATATAACTTGAATGGACGAATACAAAATAATGCTATCGTACGAAATCCCTTGGATTTACTTTCTACTTGGTTGTATGCTTGGTTAATCTCGAGGCGAATGAACTAAGTTGCTGCATTTATAAGGTAACAACCCTTACTTACCCTTTGAACTGGTAATTTTTAAGCAGAATGATTTAAAGCCTGAAAGAACTACAGTAGGAAATGGCACTTGCTAACTAGTGATTCCACTGCCAATTAGTTAGGCTGAACTTTTTGGAAATCAACACTCATTCCTTCATCCTAATGCTGCATTTAAATCAGTTAAGTAGGTCGTAAAATGCCACTAGAAACTGTAAGTAGTGCGAAGGAAAGTTTCATACTCCTAAGTGAAGATTAGGTGAATTGAATAAATCTGCGCGCGACTCTACACCACCCTGTCTACTGACTCGCAAAATGAAGCACTTATGAATGGAGGGGCCTCCCCTTATGAAACAGGATACCTGCTTACTCACACAGACCACTAATTAAATGGACGGCAATGCTGAAGCTTGTTTTCACAGCATTTCACCACTTATACGTCATCTTCATAACGCCTTGTCCACTAATGTTTGCGTAGAGGGCGATTGGCTATTGTCATCGAGCTGTCAAACTGCTGGTCTTATTAATTCTACCTTGAAGGTGGTTGATGTGTACATCAGAAGATGGAAGACGTAGAGCATGTGATGGAGAAAGAATGTATGGATTGGGAAAAAAACGTCGGTAGAATACTAGCAGCACTGTAGGCAATCCACATCACACAGACGCGCAATGCGATGTTGCAAACGCTGAAGCTGCTCCGTATTTAAAAGCGGCCAAGCATTCCCAGTAACGCTTGAGGGAGATAGGGAAAAACTGAGAGAGATGGTATGGATGTAAAGGCATTTACCGACTGAGTGATGGCTGAATGGATGGATGGATGCCTGAGTATCAGAGGCAAGTATCTCATGTAATGCTGTAAAACATAGGTGAGGGTTGCAGTGAGTGCCCGTCTGCACTTACGTGTATCAACAATTTTCGTTGAAAGAGAGGGGATCCTCCAGCCAGTCAACCTCAAATAACTACCACGTCTACTTCCTCCACAAATTGGTCGGAAGAAACGGTCCCATGTGCCATTCTTTTGGTTTACCTCACCGAATAATGAGACTTAAATATTGAAACCTTACATTAATTAACACGATATTTTACAAAACTCAGGTTCAACAGACATCTAGCAATTCAAGTTTTAATTTTTCGACTTTAACTCGCTTAATTTTGAGGGAATAGCCTAATACCTTTAAAGTGCTACATGTAGATTGCCTGTCTAGTGCTGAAGAGCCCAGGGTAAAATTTCGTGCATTCATCAGTCTCCACGTCAAACACTTTCCCCACATCGTCAAACGTGATTATTCGTTTGATTGCAAACCCACTGTCGTGGAGGGATACAATGTAAGACTGGTGTATGAGGACAAATAGTGGAACACTTTGGAAGGAGTGCCAAAAGCATTTAAATGAAAAGAATGCTGCGCGTTGCAGAACTATTCAAGGATAATTTGCTTCTTCTCGGCGTTGACGGTGAAACAGCGACACCCACGGAATTGCTTTGGGTATCCTGACAGGTGCAACGCACTTGGAGTTAGGTCAAGGCTGCGAGGCAGATGTGCCAACACCTTTTAATCCATTTACTGTGATGTGCATCCAGCGCAGTGTGCAGTATGAGCGTATGGTCCTTCTTTCTTCACACCACACAAACACAATGATAATTCGTCTTTGTTGCCACGGGATAGCAACTACACTTTTGTTTCAAAGGCGCTATCCACCAGCCGACTGGCAGACACAGCTACGCAAAGTGCCCAAGCGCTAGTGCTCACCTTTACTTTCATTAATGTGAAGATGGTTTTAATTAGGAGAGAATGGGCGCATCCACTTGGCGTAATATGCGATGATGCTGCAGACTGCTTCAAGTCAGGGCAGTATTTTACTTCTCAGCGGATATCACAAATGAATACCCGTCTCGTTAAACAGTAACAGAGATCCCGTCTCTTCCGAGTTTGTGACGCAGGTGGATGTCAGTCGAGAAGGGGATTAAGGGCTGGGGATCAGAGTATCCACGAACTGGCTGAACGTTGGCAAGATAGCCGTCTGCCAATTGAGAGTGAAGTCAGCACGGTTGGAATAGCCATAGATAGGCATTCGGATGTCTTTTAAATGCTTTTAGTCCACAGCATTCGAATGTCGAGATGCAACATGCTATTTTACCACTATAATGCGATTAAAGTGCTCTGCAGGCACGAGGAGACTTCGATTGCTTCTGAACTTTCTTTCACAAGGAATCTCATGTCATGCACGCATAATCCCCTGTGCCTGTCGTATTTTCTATCAATGACTAGATTCACCAATTCGCTGTGCATCGGCCGTAATTCACAGCTAGAAGACACATTGCCCACTTGCCGTTACATGCTCCGCCAACACGGTATTTAACTACATGCAAGATTGAAAGTCCAAGTGTAATGAAAACATCACCTGAATCAACTCACCTCATCACAGATGCATTAAAAAATATTCAGGCTCAGTGGAGCCGCAGTTGAACTATTGCACTCACTCGAGTAGACCCTGACAACATTTACCGCGTCAGCGGATGTTCAATGTTCCAGCTTCCTTTAAATTTGAAGAAGTGCTCATGGGCGCTTTACCCCATGTCGACGCACACAAGGATTGTAGGGCTGCCATTGTTCTACTTGTGCTCTCCTTCTCCATGGCGGCTGCTCCTCCAGCAACTGTATGACACATACTTCCCTCAAAGGCAATTAATGTCTCTAGATTTATTACAGACATTCATTAATGGATGAATTTCAATGCTCGGCATCTGAATTTTGATAGGCACTGAAATGCAGAATCTCAAACATAAGTAAACATTAACATCAACTGCGGAGTGCAAAGACTGGCTCCATTCTTCTTTTTTGGGCCTATAAAGGTAACAGATAGACAAAGTGTGGAAGTTTATTGCGGCAACAGAACAAAAGTGGCATTAAGTTAAATTGCAGGGAGCAGCGCAGTCCAAGATACTATTGTGACAGCACTTTTAGCTAAGGAAGTGACATACAAGTTTGCGTCATCCGCCTCTTAAACACCCCTACAAAGCACCTATTTTGACCATTAAAAGCGTTTAGTCTAGTCCTTAGCACATGAGATTTCACCTACCTAAACGGAAATGATGATGGAATTAACATTAACACTGTTATATTGCAGTATACGTTCATTTCGAATCCACATTTTGGGCTAGAAGCGGTAAACAAACGCAATAGTGTGATGGAATGGAAGCCATCAGCTACTAAGGAAGTAGTCCGCTCTAAACGAACATATCCATTACCACTGTACTCCATCCACAACTCTCTCAATAAAGCATGCCCTTACCTAAGCAGTCTACTTGTTGAAGTGATTGAAGATTGAGGTGGAAGAGATAAAAGCCGAACCTATTACGCTGGCAGCAGTGTCAGCAAATCTCCTCCCTTTTGAGAACGAAATAGACTTCGAGATGCGGCATAAAACTTTGGATTCAAGCACAGGTCCCACGGGCCCCATCCCAAACCTATACTTCACCGCCGTAGAAGCTGTGATGACTCCAAACATTGATTTGGATGAATAGTCTGCTACCCAACCCCAACTCCTCATAGACCACGAAGAAAAGATACTCGCCGGAGAGTTCTTTGGTAGCTGCCAAAAAGTGGCAAGGAAGACGAGGAGTACGTAAAGAGCCTCCAACTTCTAGTGGAACAAGCCTTTTGTGACTCTCCTCCAAACAGAGTCTAGTCCAGACACAGAGTTCGTCCACCCATTATGGCCGAGCAACTCCGTGGCACTAATACCCACCCCATCACCGAGCTGGTAAAGTTCGCAAGGAAGATGCTTCAAGAGCTGCTTACGGTCGTGAGGTATACAAAACCGCAACAGATGAACGACTCCAACAACCTCGTAATGAGGCCCTCCGCCTTATACCCCTAAAGTGGTTTAGCATTCCTTTTTCCTATCCTGTTTGTTCCCAAACAGTTGCCGTTCATTCTTGCAAGCCCCAGACAGACTGGTAGAACGTCCATGCAATTTCCTCCTCGTCAGTCAACCTGAGGACTTTCCCAATCCTGTATCAAAAGATAAGGGTCGTTTCACCAACTCGAAAGTTACACTCAGCAGAAGGTAAGGCAATGATAGTAGAAGAGACGTCGTTAAAGACAAACATATGCTAGGAAACGTGGGCAACAAAATTTACCATTTATCCAGAACTGGCTTGGAACGTGACTGTGGGCGCCAATTTTATACACAACACAAAAGTCAACCTGAATGTTGTGTTTTGAAAGTGAAGTTCCTGTCACTGCATTGCAGAATTCCATAAAGTGGACAAACGATGTGCATTTGTATATATCACAATTGTTACCACGCCTCACTTCTGTGACCAGTTATACTCGTTTTGAATGCCATCTACTAGCAGGTAGACATGCATTTACTCATTGACTTTTTTGGTCTTGGAGGTGGTACTGTAAAGTAGCGCTGGTAAGAATATACTCTTAAGAAATATCCCAATTTAACAACTACTTTGCTTGGAGAGGTTAAAGGAAAGTGGATCAGAAGCAAGACGACAGTTTGAAGGGATAAGACCACGACAGAGAGTTGAGAAAATGCTCACGTATGTCGCTAAATTTCTAAGGCAGTAGAAAATTAACATTCAAAGCCTCCGCTCTGCACGTCATTGCCACCGAAATCGTTGACACAAAGAGCATAATTAACAAAGACAGGCTTTTGATGGTGGCTACTTCCACACGAGAGGTGGAACTTCTAATGGAGAACGTTACCGTTGACGCAACCATCGAGATGTCGAGACCATGAAAGGACATAAGAAATCAGGCAGTTGAATGTAATGAGACTTTATTTAAGACAACTTAAAATTATACCAAGTTAAACAAACTTGACTCCTAACTAGAGAAAAAGAGAAGAAAAAACCTCTGGAACTAGCCAATCATATGTGAGGTCTGCGGTACCGCAGAGATGCAAATAGCCTACTTGAGACTGCCGATTGGCTCGCCGAGGTCACGCGTGCGCAAATTTCAAATCACTCGCAGCACCAATCACCTCCTGATTGAGTTAAGGACAAATGTGGGCGGTTCCGAAGTAAGTGTGAGGGCCCATGGCATGCATGCCGACTGCAAACTGTCTCGGTCGAATGTGAGAAATGTTGCAAACGTTAAAGCAAAGGAAGGGCAAACACAAATACCCTAATGTGCAAATTTGGAAGAGGTCTGACCTCGCATGAAACTGCACGACAACAACCTCTCCTCAGAAGCAGTGAACACGATCATTTGTACGATGGTGAATTGAAATAAGCTACTTTGGGGTGGTTCAACTAGATTGATAGATCTCTCCATACCGAAGCTTTCCTCATATTACTTAAGCCCCGGTGTGGGGATATGAACATGATGGAGGACAATGACCAAATGGAAAGGTCACCGAAGTGGATCACCATCTTTCATGAACTTTGTGATTCCGGTTTGAGTTAAACTTTGGTTATGATCCCAAAAAAGAAGAAAAATACGAGCTTATGTATGTGCCTACTATTTTTCAAAATCTTTTCCTGAGTACACACGCGCACACATTACACCTTATCTGGAGTGTGTTCCAGGACGGCTTGAAGCACCATTTTATGCACTTCAAGGATGTCCGAGTTTCCCACATTGATCCACCGCCAGGAAGGTGCTGTTTCCCCTCTCCGGCGCTTCTCCTCAAAATCCTTTGCCAATCTACGGAAGTTAGCCAGCACGCGGGTCTGGAAGGACGCATTTTCGAAGCGTTCTTTGCCATAGTCACCCCGATCCTCCAGACTGTCCACACTGGAGGGGACAAAGCATACCACGACGTCAGGCTGGGGGAGGTCCTCCTCGCTACGTAGACACCACTCCCAGGTAGGAGAGTCGGGGTGCTCCTTCGAGGCGGTGTAGACAATACCCGAGTAGCTGTAGCGGTCTAGCACGACGCAGCGACCCTCTGCAAGAGCGGTCCGGATATCTGATGCCTTTTCCCACCTGATTTTAAAAGAGAGACGTTACGATTACTGGGGAGATGAGAGAGATAAGCAGTCGATTAACAAATGCTTCCAAAATTAAACCACTCTACAAAAAACAAAGTGGTAACCTCGTGAAGTAAATGAGAAAGATGTGTTGCTTACTTAATGTGGTGTTGACACCTACTAGACAGATATTAATACTGGGGTTAGTGAAATGATGGTAACAAAGATGAAACTCATGGCATCAGCTTGATCCGAGCCAAGATGGAACATCGGATTATTGCTTAGGGCAAAACTAAAATAAAATTTTGCTTGTTGGTAGAGGTGAAGGCTTCGGTGAGCATGCTGTAACACCCAAAATTACCACATGTCACGCAATGAACCAGAAAAAACAAAAAATTGCAGTCCAAATGCTCCCCAAACTCGACTTTCTACGATTTCATGTAAGTTCCACTAACAGCCAGGCATAAACAGTAGACCGGTCTTTTCTCCAATGACAACCACTTTGTCTATAAATTCAGGTAAGATTATTGACATCGACTAGATCTAGGTCTAAACGACAGGTTAAAACAGGTATGCCACATCCTTGCACCCACAACAGTACAAAGCTCTCACAAGCAGTAGAAATGAATAAATAGTGTTAATGCGATGATAAATGGTACAAAAGTGGATATTTTATCCGCAATTAGTGGGAGTTAAAACATCACGGTAGGGAATACCAAGAGTGACATTAAACTGATCGGTAAAATTGTGAACAGTGTGCGGACTTAAACAACGACCTTTAAAATAAGGGACTGATATTGCGCTTCTAAGGCTAAAAGACTTAAAAATAATTTTAAGTCTGACTCACTATTCAAGACCATAATAATAAAGAAACAAGCATAAACTAGACAAAATCGTGAAAAAAAATGCTATTGAAGTAGGAGTCCTCCTTTATGGAACTCACAAGTATTTACCAATTAATACACTACCAAAAATGTTATTTCCATGTGCTTGATTCATGCACAAACGTTACCTCGAGGCAATAGTACATCATAGCTTCCAGCCATAAATACGAACTAAAGCAAGTTGAGAACCTGATCAAAACACTACAGTAAAACTACGTTCGTTTGTATATGGTTTTAACTGTTCAAGTCCCTCAGTCTACGCGAACTCTAACGACTTCAAAGCCTACAGCCTCTCAGTCCAACCGTTGGCATAAAAAAATAGGATTCCCACACACTGTCAGGCCCTACTACGCCTTCAGGAACGTCTCAGAGCACTGAAACGTTACCTGTTAGCAGTAAAGAGGAGGTGAACGGCATGCGGATTGATGTCGACTTTACCGGAGAGGTAGTTACTCAGACACTGCCCGATGGCGGTGGAGCGATCGGGAAAGCAAAGGAGGTAAGTCTTCGCACCGTAGATATCGCTGAGAGCCCCCGCTAACATCTTTGCCTGTGTCGACTTGCCCACTCGATCAAGGCCCTCCAGTACGACGAATAAACCCCTTTTTGATACCATCTGTGGATGAAAAAAGGCGATCTTCAACCAGACGTTAGATCCTTGGTATCTAAGGTGGCTAGCTGTAGAGAAAGTGGCCAGTTTCTACCAGTACATAAGAGACTACAGTGCGGCAGAGTGCGAGGATGGAGGAAACAATGCCATGAAAGCTAGATCACACTAATAAATTCAAGTGTCTAACCCCACCTTCAGGGGCAAAATAGCGCTTTGACAAAGCTTTAAACACAGTGAGCACAAGTCAGTATGCTTAGTCGAATTAAAAACTCTAAAAGTGATTTAAGCGAAAATTCCCGGTCCATATGGCTTTATTGTCTGAAGCGAATGGAGATAGTTTACTGCTTCCTGAACTACAACTTGTGATAAACAACTAATTATCACCATGACCAGAATACGCGAGATGTATATCACAAAAAGATTTGAGGCACCGAACATTAAATCCGATAGATTATTAAAAGAAAAATTGAGTATAAGCAATTTGACAGTGTGATAGATAGAAATGATGCATGTGCACATGCAAAATACCAAGCCTTAAGGAAGGCTGCAACGAAAGATAACTGAAGTATTTACGAACAAATAACCCCACAAAGAAAATAACTGATTAAAACCTATCAGAAGAGAAAGCCACACAGAAAACAAAAGTAGAGTGTAAAATGAAATACAGTAGTTGCTCACCCAACACACGGAAGGCAAGGCGGTATATAAGCGGCCGATTCGGAACAACGCCAAATACACATACATGCAAAACAATTAGGTAAAACTTGACTGAGGCCAAACAAGTACGGAGTCACTTTTTATCTATTTACCTAAGTTTTTTTGTTGTAAGTAATTAAGGGTTCGACGCAACCGCTTATTGTGAGTGCTTTCTGTGACGGCTTGCAATTATTTGTGGATTACGAAAAAGTACACTAAATGGGCAAGCTTCACCCTATCTTACTTTACTAATTAATTTTTTCTTATCTTTATTTTTTAAGCATACTCATGATTATATTAAACAAAAACCTTTCGCTGGCATAAACCATTTGCACGAACCTCTTCAAGACCGTGATAAAACAGAAGAGTCGGATATGTAGCATGATCCATGATTTACCTCATCTCTCTTAAGCCTCATGGCCTTAAAGCAACAAAAATGGTCGAAATTGAACATAATTGTTGCCTAGAGTCAATGGGTGGAAGATAGTTTTGGGGATACCTAGACAGGGAACCCTTCTGTGATTTCGGAGATGCTGACCGCGCCTCAGTTACGACCTTCAATTTGACTACTCGCTTTCTCTACAAAAGGTATATATATATGCTGCATTGCAAAACTGCAGGTTAAGTAGTTTCAAAGAACTGACGTTTAAATGCACGTAAAAACAAACACCATATCAAAATCATATCAGTTCCTTAAAGTTAAGAAACAACCAATCACCCGTCACTTTTTGAACTAACAACACCACATTGGTTTAAAAGACATGCAAATTGGAGTTTGTACCCTAACCACTACGTGATTCAGGCAGTCCTCAATTCGACGCAACTACTGCCCAAATCCTTCCAGTGATGCTCGCTCAGCACACAAAACCCAAAATAAAAAGGCGTTAAAATCGGCATATTTGCTGTCGAAAATCTCTGCATGAAACACAGCTCTCCCCTGCTGCGCTCTGAACCATGGCAATGCTCAGAATCAATTAAGTTACAAAGTCGATTAAAACAATTTTTGGCGGAAAATCCTAGTGGTGTTTCGTTCGGATCCGTCCTTCTAGAGCAATATTAGTCACATCGGAAACACCTTCTCTAATACTGTCATTTTACGAACTGTTTTGGAGACGTGCAATCATTTCATTGCTACCTTAATTATGAATTTCGAAATTCATCAGGGTCGTTTAGCGATTATGTGCGCACTTCCAAAGGGATTTTAAGGTCTCTCATTAATCCGGAGCAGCGTTTCTTAAAACATTCATTTTTACACTATCAATCGCTTCAATAGCTTTTGAGTAATGGGTTTTACGTCCTAACGCGCATCGGGCAACTACTTGGAATCTTTTCGAATGCTGCGCAAATGATTTCAATTTATGGAAACTTCGGGACCCTTACGTTCTCTCATTTTACTTTATTTGCCAAAAATAATGACTAATGATCAATAAACGCTGCCAACAGATGAGAAAGTTTAATTATTGTCAATCACACCGGACATCAACAAAATTTTATTTGTAAAATAATACAATAAAAGCAAGACTCATACTCAAAGAATATACTTGAAATGCATTCGTGCTGGCGCGATACACTGATAGCTGTAAATTAGGAATCATGAAATATGCGGAAGGATGGAATAAGCCTGTCTACTAATTACCATTCTCTAGCTGCGTCACATATATGGGTCACCCCGATTCCTTAAATCTAGCTATCAATAAAAAAACCCCTTAAAACTCAAAATCTCCGAACTGTATAAGCGTGTCTGAGAACTAAATTTAGCGACAAAACGCTGGTTGCATTCTTTTTCATAAATTCAAATATAGCAGATGTAAATCTTATTTTGAGAGTCAGATCTTAACGCAAATTGCACCCAGTACTTTCTGTTCATTTACAGCTCTTACCTTGGTAAAATACTAGAGTTTCTTCCTTCTCGGTCGTCACAAATATGCTACATGTACTTTTTTACAGTTTAGTGACAACTGGTTACACTGCGTCTCGTCAAAAACGAGGTAATTCAAGTACGCTGAAAACAATTAAGTAGTCATGGCATCCTCCTGGCCTGAGCATAACTAAATCGTTAGGTTTGGAGCTGTAAAAGTTTGTCAAAATGGTAAACACCATGAGCTATGACGGTTGACTTACTTGTGATGATACAGTCGACTCGTGAATCGCACCAGTGATCACGCTTCTTGGAGCACACCATCATGCCAAGTGAGATATATCATGCAGATTGGATCTTACAGAAAAATTTGATAGCCCTGGATGGCAGCACAGGGCATACGAGATTTACATGCCACCAACCCGACACCTTTTTGTGATCAATCCCTTTATGCCGGTACTTATTCAAGGTGTTCCTTAAATTTATCTGGTTTAACGAAGAATTTTAAGGCCAGACTGGTGATTAATTAAGTCATTTTGGTATTTAGAGTAAGTTAGCTACCTATTCTTCCTTCCTTCAAACAGTTATAAAATTGGAAGCACGTGCTTGACTTGAGAACCTCTAATAAGGGATCCCATTAAACCACCCAAAGTGAGGGGAAATGAAGAGTCTCATTAAAGACTGCCAAAAGCGTAATAGCACTCCCCACAAATGGGAGTGTGTAGGATGATGATCGTTAAATAAAATAACTAACCCATAAAAACTAATTCACCAAAAATACAGGCAAAAATGAGCTGAAAAGCTGTGTCTCAATCCTACTTAATTGGGTTGTCTGTCTCTACCCTGTTGAGGATCGGTTTCACTCAAAATCACTAACGCAATTCGTTCTCCAGCATCACCCATCCATTGTCACATCGTTTTTTTTTTCAAGAAAATTCCTGATTAAAATATTCAAGCCAAAAGCATCCGTTCCATTTTGCAGTTGGAAGAAGAAATGCTACCGCGGCGGCGCCACGCGCAATAGTAGCTGCCGTAAAGGTCGTGGGTCACGCCAGTCCAGACGCCGTATACAAAGATGGCGGGCGCCAGTGGCAGTGCATGCATTGAGCACTATGAATGAGAGCTCAAAACTGTCAGATGTATACTTGTATGGAAAACTTCGAGCACAGAGCGATGCGTTCAGCCACAAAAGGTATTTGTTTGAATGCTATCAACATTTAACCAAAAGGCGGTCGTACTTCCACATGTCGGCGAATCGACATAAACGACGAGTTCTTCTATGCGTACGATGAAAACCACACAAACATTTAAGCAAACTTGCAATTTGACAAAGCTAGCGCAGGCTGGATACCAAGATGAAGGAAGGGAATCACACTTTTTTGCGATGTTTTAGATCTATCAACAACGATTTCAACATCAAAAACGCTCATCTTGAATCCAGCAGGTGCTAGTATAATCGAGAAATTGACAGTCAACTATTCGGTAAAAATAACGGCGACTTTTGTTCTTAAAGTGTTTTTTAAAGCCCTAAACCCAAAAGTTCCGATTTGGCTTGAACACTTGGGTTAAAATGACGTAAGATTAATGCGAACCGATGGAGAGACATGAAATGTTCCTCAATATCAAAAGGCAAGCGTTTGCAGAAATGTGCAAGAAATCCCTCACCTTTTTGCAATTCTCAGCCCTCTGAAACTAGCAGCTATTTCCACCCAAGCCCATATCGTAATGGTGAGAAAGAGATAATGTTCTCAGGGCATAACACAAACAATTACTTAGGGCTCTATTGCTTTCCCGTCGTTTCGGTTGAGTGAAGCGTTTTATTACTAGTACCTACTCATATTTCATGTTGTTTGATTATTTTTTTCTGCAAATTGAACACTCCATTACTCACATCCAACTAATAGACACTATGACGTGTAGAAACACATGAGGTCGCCATCTACTCCAGCTTTTGCTACCATAATGACAATTAAATTCATGATTCAAGGTCTTGTGAGTATAGCGGTCACCAAGCGCGAATGTGGAGACCTTTTTCGTGTCACATGATGCGTCGCTCATGCCACCGACATCACTAATCCCAGACATTTCATTTGATCGTAATAAAATTCTTCCAAATTCACGGGGTTTTGGAGCCAACTCTAGAGCAACGTTGACAACTACCTGGGTCTTCCTATGATAAATTTCGGATGAGTACCAATTAGCAATAAACAGCAATTTGTGGGCAACAGTGTAATATACAGATGACGATCTGAGTGTCACACATACGCGACGCACGATGCCACGCGTCTTTTACAAATTTATGATAATTACATGAAAATATCGTGTTACAATCAGATCGAATGGGTCTAAAGCAACAAACTTGTCCGAGAGTGGTCACATTTCCTTAGGTTTTTGAGCAGCAGCTGAACTAGTCCGTTGGATAGTGCAATTGTTGGCTATATACAAGGACAATGAAACACTGCCGTGTTGACCAATGTTTCCCCAAAGCTTCGGAATTTTAAGCCTATTTAAAAGAATTTTATTCTCTGGAAGTTGGAAGAGGTTTTTGCGCATATTGCATTTGTGCGGTCCGTTTTTGATTGGCCAAAGTCAGGGTCATCCTGTCCCGTATTTCAATAAGTGAGTAAAGACTCAATTTTATAATTTTAAGTAGTAAATAAGTAAAATTTGTTGTGCTAGGTATTGTTTAGGGGAAATACCACCAAAATGGGGTCACTCTAGACACAACCATTTTAGCAATATTATCTCTCATCCACTAAAACATCTACTTGACAACATTCGGATGCATTTTTTAAAGACACCGCGTGAATATTCCCTACTTTAATCACGTATTTTACTCAAAAGGCTTTTAAAAAAGGCAACGGAGGATCCGCAGGGAATTAAGTAATGAGTAGAACTAAAAGTAGGCTCATTATTAGCAGGAAAATTACGTTGAGAAAAGAATGAAAAACTCAACCTTGTGCCCTTATCTGGTGCAGCCTAAAACCCCCGTCAGCATACTACCTGTGCTAACATCCCAATTTTATCCCAGATCTTGTTTCAAAATTTGTTTCTACCAGAGAATTAAAACAGCTCCCCTCTTCCGTTTCGTTTCTAGTTTAGTTTGCAGTCTACTTAAGATATTCCTAGGGTAGGATACAAAAACGAGGTTTGTCTAAATGCGCGTTTAGCCTTGTGGGCTATTCACTTTCCGCAGGTTCCACCACCATCCTGTTGATATTAACACTCATCTATACCTACGGTCTCCAAGCCCTGGCAGTAAACCCTCTTCCCGAGCGGTTGGTAGGCCTTACCCCGAATCAGAAGGCTACGATGAATCCGATTTCATAGCGTTGTGAAGTACAGAAGCGATCATGATTAATGAAAACACTGGTCATAGAATGACATACCAAAATTAAGAAGCCGAGTATTTATTTAGTAGAAAACAAGGCTACGCACGTGTCTATACGATTTTTTCGTCTAGGGTCCGGATAAGAATAATTTAAAATGTGGCGAAACTATGTGGTCGGGTGGATTAGAGGGTACATATAGCGAGGCGGGAACGTTAGAGTAAATCAAAGCCAGAGGGAAAGGCTTGCTATGGCGCGTTAAAAAGCAATGTTAAAAAGTGCGTATTAAAGCATAGTTTAGTTACTTTTTTATGACCCTTCTATTGCGAAAGTCTCTATAACTAGAACGGGAAAGGAAGAATATGTGCATTAATAGGGAAAGTTGACGATGATTAGTTTTGGCTATTTTACTCATCTTAGGCAGGTGTTCTGTGGTACAGCTATTGTTTTTGCAACGTGCGAGTTTTTGCGTCTGCCCAGTTCGCTCACCATCTTAATGCCAAGGTGTCTTGACTATACACAACACGTCTCATCTACATTATCTAATGAGAAATTATACTAGGCCTTGGATGGTCACCCAGGGCCCTACAATACCTTAAGATAGAGTATTTAAATTAACTGAAATCATCAACTACTTTTATTCATTGAGCATTTATGAGCGTTTGATAAAACATACGCACAAATTTACTCCTGAATAAACTGAAACTTACACCACAAACTGCACTATAAACGAATTCCAAAAATTGCGAACTAAGTTACGTCAATATCATAAAATCTCAAATCAGATATTTTTGGGTGAAAGGGAAACTTTGGAAGAACTGGTGTTACAGTATTACTTAAAAAGACGCGATTGCAACCGACTTTTACAAAGTGAGAGAAGCGGAGCTACCGTAATGGAAACGAGCTTGTTGATACCAGTTACTTTGAAATAGGATCAGAAAAATTTTACAATGAAAGCAAGAAGTGTTCCATGCCCAATTGTCAAAAACACACACAGTAAACATTGGTTCTTCAACCTTACAGAAACCTATCAGCGACTGCTTTGAATATGAGCATTTTGTGGCAGTGCTGGTAAACAATTGTTCGCAGTTAAAATTACAATTAGAATGGTAAAAAGACTACTTTATGTTAGTCACAGCTTTGGATATGCCACAGAACAGCGTTACGTATTAATGTGCGGACAGGATCGTGATGCGACCCATTACTAGCCTAAACGTCAATTTATTAGGGCGAAGTAAGGATAGTAGAGTAGAGCAGTAATCGCACTAACATATCAATCAACGAGGAAAAAAGGAGGGTAGGTGTTAAGTACTTCTCTTTAACGCCGGAAAGGACATGGGCAGATTGGTATACTAGGTGTCAATCAGCGAATAAAAAGAACGATAGCACGACTGTGTGGTAGATATACATATATTTTGAACTTGCCATTTAATACATATGAACAACTGATCCATAAATAGAACTCAAGTAAGTTTTTAATAACAATTTGTGATCACAGAAACTCACTTTTAATATAGGTAGGTTGGCGCGGATCCTTTTCGACTTTCCGTTTCTGCTCTAAGCCGGGGTTGTGTCTGCAAAAAATAATGAATGCTAGTTACTGACTCGTCAAAGGGAGTGGAAAACTTCGTAAATAGATGAAATAAGCAAAAGGATGAGGGCAGTATGAAAAATTACCGGAAGAAGCTGTCCCCGCAACAGCGACAATTGCAAAGGACAACCACCCGAACATCAGTGTCATCTAGATTGCACATCTTTCACGCAGTATTCAACAGAAAATGATTGGGTAAAACATCCACTAATTTTTTAATTATGAAACCGAAATTGGCGAAATCGTTAAATTTAGAAATGACTGCTGGAATGCAGAATCCGAAATTGATTTTCTTTGCGCTATCTCGCGTTACATTTTGCATTATCAAGCATGTAAAAATAACCGCTGAATTTCGAAAAAACGGAGAGAAGTAACAGCCGCATTTTATATTATATTCAAAGGAGCCTTTAGACACAAAAAGGTACAAGAAATATTAGACGGTCCTGTGACGATAAGGAAATTCTGGTGGGGCTGATAAACAGTCTCGAGTCAGAAAACACTTCCCCTCCCTACTATTTTGACCTCGAAATTTGGGTGGAAAAATGCGTAACTTACACATATATAACTTTGTCCTTCCCATTCGCATGCATCTTCGTCTCCATCTGTTGGATTATATTACTCAATTTCAATGCTACTGCCTCCTCTTTTGTCGAAAGGTCCGAGTCGAAATTATAACTGCTCACATCGTCACAACTTCTACCACTGTCATAACTCCTCATCCTTGTAGTCGGAGCGAGTGAAATCGGAGCCTCTAGATGATTCCTTGAACGCGGCGCCAAAGTTCCACTTCGTGACCTATACTCAGGTATCGGATAGTTCGGTTTCAAAGGCGTGAAATTTCGCTGTAGACGCACGAGTTCGGTGCATACAGGAGGATCGACTTTGAGCGGATAGACACTGCCATTGGTGAGGAGGAAATCGAGCCCCTTTTTATGCGTCTTGTGGGAGTATTTAGAGGATTCGTCCTGAGGGACTAGTTTGTAGTTTGAGGCGGTTGATGCTTTGACTGATTGAGCTGATGAGTGGCGTTGCCGGCTGCGATGTCGGTGGCCTTTTGAATGTCGACGCTTTTGTGGATGTCGATGCCTTTGTGAATGTCGCTCTTCGTGAACAAATAGCACGTAATCTTGGGGTTTGGGCATTTGGGGGAGGGGATCCTTAGCAAGAAAGAAGCCTCACCTCAAAGTGTTTAAATGATGCTAACTGCTGATGGCGGCATTATTGTGCTGTGCTCGTGTGTGCGTACGTACGACGGAACGAGCAGTGAAGTAGCCAATCAGGAACATTGGATTTCGCTGTTAGACTGTGACATCTATCAAAAAGACGTCTGACGCCGTGTATCACGGGTTTGTCTAGGCGAATGTAGTCGTCTTTGAAGGATCAGCGTATGCGAAAATGAAAGAGATGCAAAATAAGCCATAATAATGACATGTGGAATTTCGACTTAAAACTGGAAAATACTAAGTTACTTCAAACTAGTGACGCTAGGCAATGAAAATTAATGCCTACTTTAGTACGCATCATGTGAGTCGTACGTCATGAAGTTTACTTCCTACGAGTGACAGAAGAGAGGTTACTTTAGCAAAACGCAGGTATAGGTCCGAAGGTTGAGGAGAAACAGTTTTCTCTCCATGCCTTGTGACGTGCACAATAAGGGAAATCCTGAAGTGGAATTTGGAGACCTAGCGAAATATACATTCCACGGTCATCTGCAGCGAATGACGAGGCGTAGACGGGGTGATGCAAGAAGGATTCAAACCATCGGTTGGCAGTAGATGAAATGAGGAAATGAGATTATTGCCACTCCTACTTCAAATAAGGAGTCCACACAGAACGCATTCATGTGTCCCCAACAATGAATTAAAAATTTGTCAAAGATCCTCGTGAGCACTAGTAAAAGGCTCGTGTGCGTGACCTTAAAGATGTCATTAACTCAAGGTTATCTTATTCAAAGAATCACCTGAAAGCGCATGTAAACAATGACACTAGGGTTGTATTAAATAGTCGCATGAAAAGTTGAATTCAGTGGCTTAACTCAGCTGACTGTGTATGTTTACCATTTTGTAAAAACGTCAGCTATTTGTTCGTATCAAGTAAAATATATGGTCCTAAATCCAGATTTTGAAGAAAAGATAATTGAGCAGTTGCAGAGGTCCCAAGTATACACCGTAAATTGTTAATGAGGCCTAAGCACTCGCATCATTTTATAGTATTCAAGAAAGTGCAATGGCTTCCAAAGGTACTGAGGACGAAATCATATCTTCAAGTGATGATATGAACTAAAAAAAGCTGGTAAACCCTGTGGTAACCATTTCTTAGCGGAAAGTTGGTATTATCCTTTTGATTTGACTGGATCCAATGAATAAAATCGGATTTGGCGAAGGTATGCGTGTGACTGTTTGGCAGGACTCCTTGCTGTTGTTGGCGCTGACGAGATCTTGATAGATGTGACTCAATCCCACATTATGACGAAGTAAAGCCTACTTTTGGATACCACAATAGCTTAAAGGTGTGACGTGTGGCAGAACCCAGAAACGGTGTTGCGACACCAGGTTTACACTTAAATTAACAGGGGAGGGGGAAAGTCGTGGTGGGAGCTAGGCAAATGTGTCCCACCAGTATGCTATGTACTAAAAAATGTGGAAAATGTCCCCCATGATCATCACTTTGTTCCTTTCTCCTTTCACGGGCGTCATAAAGCCATGCAGCCTCTTTCGCATAGTCGACTCACCAACTTTGGATGGGGCATGACCCTTGTGTTGCAAGGTTGGACGAAAGGAACAAATCTTTTTTTTACAATTTCGACACCCAAGTGTTAAGTGATATTTTGAGTAAGCAAAAGTGCAGAACTTAGTTTTTGAAAATTAACAAATAAGGGAATTAGTGGGTGAATTTGTACTTAATTAAGGGTCGAATTTTCAGCTTCAGCTTCAACTTTGAGTTATTCTCGGCGGGCTATTGCGCCAAACACTGCATCTGTAACAACAGGACATTCACTACATCCTTACACCTGAATAAGCAGGATCTTGAGGCTCTACTTTCTTTTTGGGACATATAACCTTCCTGCTAGGCCTCTAAGGCTTTCCCCTCCTCTCACCTTTCCCTCTTGTTGACGAGTGCACAACTGGCGGTGGCACATAGCAATGGTAAAATCAGCTTAAATGGCCAGTTTGTATTCGGAAATGCACCGGACTTGCCAAAATACCTACCCACCTTATTTTGTGCTGGAAAGAGTGGCAAACATCACATTGTTTCCTCTTTAAAGGAGTACAGTCACATGAAGAGGCAAATTTTCAAGGTTTAATCATCACGCACATTCATTTTAAAAAGTAACTAATGTCTTTCCTTTCTACCTGCGCTTTGAAACCGATATGAAAATTCTCCGATAGAGAAGCTAATGAACCACTTCCACAGGCTGATGAGAGGGGCCAAGACTTTTCGCCACGGTTTAGACATACGAAGATGCTAGTTTGAAGTGGACATAACTGTCTTCGTAAAAATGCCTCGAAATTCTTTCTCCAATAGCCAAAACAAACATTTAATTGTTTGCATTACTATCATTCGCTGCATAGAGCTGCACTTTTTCCTTCCACAAAAAGCTAAAGAGATCTTTTACTATTTCGAAAAATGAAGAAGACGCCTACCTTAGAGACCGTGAGCAAAACTTGACGAGAAGAGATCGAAATACATACGAGGAATTTGATGCTGAGGGAAGGAAACGGTCAACGCTTTCTTTGGCGTGTTGCCTCTACCACGGTCCCTCTTTAAGAGCATCTCAATCAAACCACTTTTTGCCCTCATTTTTTATTTTTACTTCATTTATTTAATAATAAACAAGGAGATTTCGTTTTTCTGCTACTTTCAAAAGGATGAGTTCAAACCCTTCTAAGTAGAGAACACATTAAAGAGTTAGGTCACCTGAACTACAAATTTAAAAAAGGGTTCGAAAAATATCGGTTAGTCTCTAAAGAGAAAGCAAATTACTTAAACTTAACTAATGTTTGAGTTGTTTGGCCTGCGGTACCAGTCACGGAGCCGCATCTACTGTTGAGATGCCCTCCCGGGGATCGATATACGGCATTGACCCGCATGTGCGTTTCGCCGTGACCAAGGCTGTTCTTCAACCTGCGGACCCGAGCGAAGGGCGACCGCAAGTAGAAGTGGCATTGGCAGTCCACTTAATTGACTGTCCACCATGCCCCTCAACAACGTAGTTGAAAGTGCCGACTTCTCTTCTTTTTCGTGCTCCGTTAAGGTGCAATGGCTGTTATACTTTAAGTGTTTTGGTCTCGTAAGCACCTAAGGTTCCGCATTTGTACTTCCGCTAGGCGGAATACCCACAGAGCCTTGCCAGTAACCCCCAGTCCCTAGTATCGTGCATTCTTTCACCTTTGGGAGTACTTGAGGCGCTACACGGCTACTATATCCACCAAATGTTATGAACCCTCTCGTTAGCTAGGTAAAGCAACTACAAATTTATCTCAAGATTGTCAAAAATCTAAAAATGCGCATAAAATTATAGGAGATAAATTTATAAATTACACAAAGGCATTATAAAATAGAATCATACAAGGAAATTTTGCAAAGTGCCGGCTTAACAAACAAAAGTATTTTAATCATTTTTTAAAAAACGGTATCATATTCAATCTGTCTGAGAATTTTGCCGTAGGAGGTCTGAAGTCGCAAACACTCGCCCTCACGTCTACAACTTGTGTGATTTAATTTGCGGGTTTTAGACTTCAAAAGGAGTGGAAGACCAGTCCTCAACTTTTCACACAAAATTATGTGTGCTTAATTTTTTCACTTCTTTGCCATCTCGTCCTCTACCTCCTCAAACAGCTTGGATATCAAATCACGTCCCCTTTCTCCTTCTCTCACGCACACATCGGATCCCGTTTCAGATGCGGGAAATCCAAAGATGGCGAAATCTTTCTCACCCGGAGGTCGTGAGAAACCGGGACTACCTCCTGCCTGCTTGCCGACTGGGACATACCTCACAACTCAAAAAAAGCCATCTTTTAGTTTATATTATATAAAGTCGAAGAATAAATACACATAGGACTGTGTAAGTTCACCGTATTGCGTAAGGACAGGAAAGCCGAAATTGTATGTACTAATGAATAAAAGGCTGCAGTATGGATAACCATCTAAGCAAAGGCTTCAAAATAACCAGATGCAGTAGGCCTTTCTTGGTGCCAAATACTGCTGACAGGTTTGGTGACAGCTCTGCCGACACTACAAACATTCTCAGAGAGAGGGGTAATAGGATTATCGTATACGCCGCATTTGAAGGAGGATTTACGAAAGTTAGTGAGGCCATTCTTGAGCCATTTAAAGGATCTCGGTATTGTAAATTGCTGGGTATAATCGAAAAGTGCAGCGGCATGGCATAGATCTGCGGAACGATATCAGGACCTCAAATTGGTATCCTTAACCTCGACGAATAATGGAAGGAGTAAATCGGGTCGGAATGCAATGAACGGTAGCGAAATCGACGAAAGCTGCGGGCGTTGACTTCTAAGACTCTGCAGCTACACACCTCAGCCTACTAATACAGCACGGTTTGGCACAGTTCCTGCTGTTCTGCTTTCAACTAGTTTCCGCATATTTTGGGCCCATCTCCGGTAAACGCCGGTCAGACCCGATTGGTGCGATTCGAGATTGTCTGCTTAACTAATCAAGTGTACCTCGGTTCTAAAGCCATAGAAGGGTACAACGCACCATTGTATTGCATATACTATGTTTCGTAGTAATTTTGCCTATTTTGTGAGATGTTTTCACTCAATAATCTAATATCCTGGACGGTGATTCTTTCTGGATATTTCAACCGCGAATAATAGATGACTTTCAGATCTTGCGCTGCAGCGATGGTTTTCCTGACACATAATCCAAATTTGTTCTACATTGGCTAACATTACCAAAAATTAATTAGCCATTGGTTTTTACCATTCAAACTTACTTCCTTTATTTGCAGATGAGCATTTTTCGTAAACATCCATCAATGGCTGTAAGATTAAACAGTACTGTGATAGCCTGCAAAGCAGCCCAACATGGTAAGCAATTACTAGTTAAGCGATGGGACCCTCGAACGTGACTAGCCATTACAAGAAATACACGAATATGGGCAATCATACTACCGTTTACGATGACGCCATGATGTTTTGTCGATTGATAAGGGCAAGTATTTTAGCAACCTACTTACAATTAAATTAGTAGCGTAAATTTATCCTCTATTAAGAAAAAAGTCAGCGAAACAATGCTAGGCAGTTTAAAAATAAACCTGTGATAGATCGTATTCCCTTCTTAATCTTAAGAATTGTGAGTTAAATCAAATTTTCTAATTTTTAATGTCAAAGTAATCGAAGGGGTGGTAAGGGGCCGTTTTCCTCGCCTCAACATCCCAACAGAATTGATGAGTAGCTACTTAAACTCATTAGAAATTCAGCAAGCAAACAAATTCCCACTACATATACAAGTAAGAAGGAATGCATCAATTGGAGGAGAATATCTATGCTTCTTAAAGCACATAAGCAATAGCATTTATTTTAACGCACCTATATTATCATAACGGGTAATTGTGGTGGAATATATTGACGTTCTGACCTATTTTTCAATCTACTGATACCACCCTATAATTTCTGTATTAATCTCTAAACTAACTCCTTCCTGATTCTTAACAAACAGCACACTCAAAGTTTGCTTCGAAGAAGAGGAAGGAAAAGTGCTTTAAAGGTTATTTCCTCAACGGCGATATTTGGAGATATCGGTGAATCCCGTTCATGGAACTCCACCTACGATTTCTAGACTAATAGTTTCAAATTCTTTTGTACTTATGCAATATTATCATCTAAGTTTTATTGCCAAGTGGCTGCAGCAGTATATGCTTGATAGTCTATGTTTCTAGCAAAAGATTAGTCTAAGTTCGTCTGTACTTCGAAGAGAAAACTTGTCCGACTAGATCAACTGGATAGCATCAAACAGAGACTATAAAAGCACAAGTCACTTTTGAATTGCCAGATCTGTGAAAAGCCTTAATGAAAGAGGTAAAAATGGCATTATATACTAGTCCCCACATGACGTGTCATGATAGGAGATCCAAATCAAGAGGAAGAAGTTGAATTCGGGGGCTGAGAACGACCTTGACTGATGACTCTAGTCTTGAATTAGTTATGAAATGACGGAAAGGGCTCAAACTCGAAAAAATACACCTGAAAATTATTGCTGTTGCATATTTGATTAAATAAATTCTAGCTGTAATCCAATTTTTTTCAAAAAATAGTCGAGGTACCAAGTTTGGTCGCTATGGTATATTTCTCAGCTTTTAAATAAAAAGCTGGTTCAAATGCAGTTTGGTTAAAAAATAAGATATACTACTATGTTTTGACTTAAAGACTTCTCATAATGACTTAACACGGTAAGAACTTTCTTTTCCTCTTAAGTTAGGCACAATTCACTTTAAAAGTTATTAGTAAAAAATGATATGCACCTTGGAGGCGTGCGGTTTTACACTAATTTATTGAGTATTCATTAACTTAGCTTTAACTTTAGTGGTATGAAGCTCTCTCCACGGGATGCATACATCTGGCCTTCAGCCCATCCGTATGCCTAGAATACACCTACTTTAAGACAACTTCTCTAGACACGTTCTCAAGCACTAACTCGTAGGCTGTGCTTCATGATTTACGAGCTTGGGGAAAAAGTACACAAATTAAATTTCTTTTATTAGAAAGAATTGCAGCTAAAAAAGGAACGGAAAAAGCACTTTACTTAACTAAACCACGGCCAAAGATGATATACTACTCAAGACACTGAAAAACATGAAGCATAACTTAAAAGTAACTCTCGGCATCTTGACATCAAGGAAGGATGGTTGCGCTTCGAGGTGGTCACACTTTTTGATACTTGCTCATTTTACTCGCAAGGGTTCTAACCTCAAATATGGAATTTGTAGACCCCATCATAGTTACGCTTTAATAAAGCTAAAGCCTCGTTCGTTGGCCTTTCCATTTACTAATTAAATAGGTTTGAACACAAGGCACTGTTAGAAAAGAATAATTTTAGACTTAAATAAACCATAGAAAAGTGCTGATTCCTTTTAAAATATTGTACTAAGAAAGGCAATAATTTGACTTCAACTTAACCAAAAAATGACAATGTTAGAGGGATAGCCTGCACTAAATCGCCGACCACCACAAAGGTAGATTAGTACCGTCCAGATATTTGCGCACTTATAGAAAAAGTTGTGTCGTTTTATTACTCAAACATTCGACTCTATTCTTGCCCTTCTCCCCGTGCAATCGGCTTCTTAATACCTTCGTAAAAAAATAAATACTAAGATGAAAGTTAGCATTGCAATGAACCAATTACTTGGTCCTCTTTTGACAGGACTAGAAGTCACACCCTTTTAGTTGGCGCGTGCGAGAGGGTAAGGAAGGAGTTGAGCACGAGATAAGGCATTTAAAATGCCTGATTCACATTTTTTTTATTAATAGTTGCCTCATTAAAATTGTTTTATCACTTTAAATAGAACATTAATTTTAATAAACCAGTCAAAGACTCAAACACTGCGCATGAAGTTTTCTGCAGGGGGTCCTCCTTCACAAGGGATTTTGATCATCTTCACACATCTATTCGAGCATACCACCTGCCATCTTGGTAAGTGGCTCCCAATGGGCTGATAGCAATGCGACACTCCTAACACTATATAATGATGGTTAATTAGAAGTTTTGGTAATGCAGAACAAATAGTTGCGTTTTCATACGCCCACCAAACGCTGACGCACAGGTTAATCTCTAAGTCGATGCCACACGCCTTTTGCCTTGGCAGCACCCACTGACGCATAACGCGGCCTGCATGAAGAGCAAACGGTGGAAGCCATGCCAAGAGGTTCAAAGTCACGACTGACAAAGTTTGTCAAGGCTCGATAAAACTTCTGTGACCTTTCCTAGTAAAATTCCCTAGCAAGAAGAAAGCATTAAGGTCTAAATACATATAGAATTTGGCCGTAAAATAAGTTGCCTTAAACTAACCCTATTGTTATTAGACAATAATGTTTTATTAAATATTTACTTGACCAAAGATGCCGTGACCTCGCCATGACCGTGTACTGAAAGCTTTTTAAGGCACAATTACCCACCAAATTGTTATGCTTCTTCTAAATATCTTAAAATATAAAGGTGGTATGGGAACAAAGAGCCCTTATTTACTAAGATTGCTAAAAGATGCAGCGTGATTAAGAATGGGTTGTTCTTTGGATCAAGTCCAAAGCGGTCATTATAAATGAGGTTGGAGGTCAACATGCTAGAAGAAAGCTTCAATGTTTTTAAATGTATGATTTTGAAAAAAAAATAGTAAAACGAAAGGATTGAAACAACTTAAAAAGGAAATTTTTGATCAAGGCATTGGAGAAGCAACATTAGGAATACAACATCGTTGTAACTTGGGTTTCTATGTCTCTTTTATCTAACGTGGGTAATCAAAACATTCCAAAAGGCCGCGCTAGCAAATGCATAAACGTGTAATCATATTAATTCTAAGTTCCACTTTTACAAAATTGCTTTTCTTAAAATTTACGAAAAAAAAGATGAGGTTGAGATAATAATGGATTTCAACGGCTTAAAAGCAGCTAATAGTGAACACTGGGACGATGGTAGATATTGCGACTTGGAGTTTCGCTTCCTTTCTTTTTATTGAAAAGTCAAATTGCAAGAGTCATTGCAAGCACAAACTTTTTCACTGATTCACTGTGGCACCACTCAAGACATGATTAAAGGCAGGGCGGGGACCACCAATTGGCGTTATCACTGTTGTCACCACTTGGCAAGATCACCAGGGGTCCAATTCTTACTAAGCACATCAAAGGCTGATGTGATTGGAGATAATAATTAATACATTCCCAGCATTACCCAGTTCATATATAGGGGTAGGCTAAATTGATAAACCACTTCCTATTCTCTCAAGGTAGAACAGTTTTTCAAGAATTTGACGCAGCTTCCGTACCATCGTGATGAAAATTAACCAATGATAAAAGGCAGGAGCGGACTTCTTTGCAGCTCGCAAAAGTATCACGCCGTATATGACTTATAAACACGGTACATACAGTCAATATCAAAGAAGCATTTACTAGGCCTTGGCTCCATTAGCCAAAGTCAACCGCCTGCCCATGACCCACCCATTATTCTACCAACTTTTTTGTAACTAGATTGAATATGTTTTGATAAAGTAACCTCATATAGTAGTAGTGACCATGCGGACGTCGCTGGCACTTTGAGTAAATCTTTAAACCTGTCTCAGACATACGTTTGTCCGCAGATCTACAAATTGGTTGCAAAACAGAATTTTATTTCCCGCCGTAATAAATTTTAAAACCAATATTCCTTTTTTGTCTTATCTGCTGCATCGTTTTTTTCCTATAAAACGTAACTTTAATTCTATGAATTCCCAGTTTCGTATAGTTAGATTAAATAACCGCCACCAACTTCAAATTCCCTCGTGGCTAGTTTATTTGCATGTATAAGCAAAATTCCTGATATTATAAATGCACAGGTTGTTGAGTCTATTGTTTTTGGTATAAATACTTGGAACCAAACTATTTTCCATTTCGAAGATCTGATCTGCGAGCCAAACTCAGAAAGGTAACATTGCTTCTTCAAAATGCAGCGGAGACAGGAAGGCTTCACGGTAAAATGGCAAATATTTTCCTTAGGGGCGACTCATCTACATAAGCGTAGCCGAGTATAGGTTTGGCTGGATAAATACCTTTTTAAACGAATGTCCTTTGCTTGTTATACTAAAGTCATAAAGTACTGAGAGCTGAAATTTTGCAAGTGCACAGGGAAAACGTAATACCTTCTTTACAGCGATTTCTCACTGAAACTGTTTGCACACTTATAAGGCATATTAACTGCGCCAAATAGGGTTTATTGGTCATTAAAAGCCATTTCACCATCTTACTCTATAGAAGAATAGATGAATTAACATGTGACAAAACCCGCAACATTGTTTCAAGGCAGTTTATTACCTTCTCTGAAGCATCAGCGCATTTTGCGCTTTTGAGCCAAAAAGTAAAAATACACTTTCATGGATTATTTCTGCTTGGTGCAATACGGAAATTACCTCCAAAGTCCTTATTAAAGAATGATTGAATAAATTATACATAAGCTCACATGGTCAACATCTCTCTTAAAGTAAGAAGCTAGTTGAGTAGGTCTAGTTTCAGAAGCCTGATGTCCATGATTCGTTTTAAATTTAGTAAAATAAGGGGAAAATGTATTTATCAAATATCAACAACTGGCCAGTTTTAGTGAAATATTTATTTCATCAGCCAAGTTGAGGTGAAAGGCAAACATGGGCCGTGGATTAGTTTGGAAAAAATAAAGTGAAACAGCTGGCGAAACCAGCCATAGCCTCGATAATCAGTACTGCACAATGCGGTAGATTGTAAACGGCCTAGACTTCCGATTATCTAATGACGACGAAGATGACACAGAGGAAGAAGAGCTAGAACTCCGGTTTCGCCTCTTTGGTGGAGCTCTGTGGGACCTCGGTTTTTCGCTAGCACTTCTTATTATGTAGGCATCTTCAGCCATGCTGTCGCTGTCACTGTCACTGCTGCTGAAATTTTCCCTATCCACATGGAAGTAGTAGATCTTTGAAGATAACTTTCCCACATCCTTCCGAGACATTTCAGGAACTGATTTATTCTTTGGTTTTTGCTTATCTCTACGTGCAGAATAGGGCAAGGCACCTCCATTGGACCGTTCAGACTTTTTCAAGACCGAACGAGCTTTGATATCTTCACCTTCGTCCGATGAACTACTGGAGCTAGAGTAGTTGACATTCCGTTTTTCTAATCCACTGAGCTCCAAAGACTTGCGTCTTGTGGTCATACCTTGCCTCGGTTTGTAGACTACAAACTGGTCTTTCGTTTCACTGTATTCCACAGGCTGTTCACGAGAAACAAGAATAGAAGTTGGAGTGGTTATGGATTGTGGAACTTGAGGAGTTAGGGTTGTAGAGCTTGAGGTTCTACTCAACGAAACCGATCTTTGGTTTGTATATTCTCGTGTTGAAGTGGGAGTTGGTTTGGTTCTAGACAAAGATGAAGAATGTGACATTGATCGAGTAACACACTGGTGACAGCTTGAGCGAGGAGCCACAAACTGTTCTGAAATGTGGGAGGTTGCTGAAGTTCTAGATATTGTTCCTGTACGCAATGGTTGACGTTGTGGGCTTGGAGAAGGTGTGATTGTGGATCGAGAGGATATGGGTCTAGAAGTTTCTGTAGGGGGGTCAAACGGTTGACGTCGTAGAGCAGGTGATGAATGTGATGTCGCTGACCTACTATTTTCAAATGGAGGAGGAGCAGGGCTCGCTGAAGGGGTTTGTAAAGCCGAACTTTCGGAGGCACCTCCAGTAACAACAATTGATGCAGTATTCACCGGGGGCACTGGCATGTTTATTTTATGTTCTGGAGCCCATTGAGATATTTGCAGCACATCGAAGAGCTTACTCAGCTTATCTGCTTTGGGGGCTGAAAGAACGATGTATTGTTTAGGTATACCCTTGCCCCGAATGCCAATCACCACAAAATTAGGTTTTTCCGAGAATTGGTAGAAGCTCTTCACTGCATCATAGGGCACCTCCTTCAATTTCAAAGCGCTATACGCGCCCTTCTTCTTAAACATCAGAGCGTCATCTTTAGCCACTACTTTGGCTTTCCGGGCTTTTTTGTCGTCCGTGTGCTTCTTTAGCGCTTCCAAAGCCTCATACGGGGTGTGACCATCATTGAAATTAATTCCCTCACTGCCGTAGACATTAAGGATCTCATCATAGTATATTTGCTCTTTGCCTTTCTTTCCGGGTATTGGTTTCAATGTTGTCATTGCAACCTCTTTTTTCTGCTAATCGTGTGTAGTACACTCCGCTTGAAAGTGTAATTATATTTGGTGAGCCTACGAATAGCCTGCCTTGTGTGCTGAGTGGATTGGCTAGTCTGTGGCGAATGGATGTTTGCCTCGTTGTTAAGTGGGTGCTCAAGATCAAAAAAGAATTCCCCGCTGACTAAATTATTGCGTGTTCTCTTGTATTACACTTCTGAACTCGGTGGAAATGGTTCCATGTGCTGGTGATTAAAACTATTGGAGGTGATGATAACGACGACTCGCACTTGCTTATGAAACGTGTTTAGAGAGAGCTTTTGAAAAAGTTAGAATTGCTAGCTTTCATCCTATCACTCCTAACCGACTTCATGGAAACGTGATTTTAATTTGAAAGACTACACTAAAAGATAAGTTTGCCTTAGAGTCTGAAATGCAACCGCCAAAAAACTCCAGCTTTTTATCTTCTCTTTCTTTCATAAATACAATGCTGCGGTAAAATTTTTGTGCCAAATTAACCAAATACTAATCCTGTATCTGAAAGATGATACAGGAAAACAAGGATACAGTGACTCCACAATTAAGCCTATCAAATTTTTTCCCAAAAGTGTGTCCTTCTTGTGCCAAGTAGAACGCAAGTGATGTTAGCGACAGAAGCTGACAGCCTTCGCTACGAACTAACTGTTTCGAGGCAAAAGAGAAGTACTGCGAAGAACCGATTATAAATTTAATGCGAAATGATTGGTAGATATTAAAAATTGGACGGAGGTGCTAAAATGGGTCAATTCTAGGGCTTACTAGGCTTGAGAGCTTAGCTGTTCAAAGAATGCCAAGGCAAGAACTCTGGTCACAGTCTCAATTGCGTGTGACATCGAAATGACCAAAGAGGGCAAAGGGGCTCCTTCAAGGGTGTAAATGTTCCATTATCAGGCAACAATAGTCTTATAAAGTCCTGATAAGACTTTTAAATAGCTTCCATAAGCAAAGGCGCAACTTTCTTTGAAAAGGAGCATCCATCAGGTGGATCCAGGCACATAATTTGCCGTCGAATAATGGATAATAAATCGAAGTTTTAACAAACTTTGTTTAGCAGCAGATTTATAGATCATTAGTGCAAGTGTGCCACTTTTATCATTGAAAAACTTGTCATCCTCTCCTGTTTTTAGGGCTGATGTTTATGGAAACTGCCTGACCTAAAAATGACCCAATAATAGAAAGGCAAAAAAATATCGGGGCCTAATAACCGGCTTAAGTTGATGGTTGCTTATGTAAGTATACTTATTTTAGCCATTAGAATTTAGTAGAAATACTTATATTGTATAACTCATTATGATTAACTGGAATTCATTTCTATGTGCGAGCCAGACTTTTCCGAGAAACGCAAAGTCAGGTCGTTACGAGACGGAGCCCCCGAAAAATTGCAGCCTAACGGTCCAAGATTGGCCTGTGAAGTAATCTGGACTTGTCATACACAACTCCACAAATGGGAGCTTGGCTCAATTATGAATCTACAAAGACCTGTTTTAACACCTTGTGGCCTTAGTGAGGGGATAGAGTGAATAATGGCAAGTGACAGGCCGCCTGCTTGACTCACCATAAATCAGCAGGTGGCTGTCCACCCTTAAAAGTAGTAGTGTCAGTAAAGGGTCTCAAAGTAAGTTGTAAAATGATTTTTTTTTAATTCAAGAAGTTGCCACCGCTCCATTTCGATGATAAAACCTACCCTCCCAAGAAGTGAGGTTTTGGAGTCGGTAAATTAGTTAATTTCAAAAGAGGACCGGTGGCTGAGACTCAAAGTGATTTTGAAGGTTAAAGTCTTTGCCATCAGGCATTTGTTTTCTTGATCTTACTACACCTTCAAAGACAGGAGAGCAATAAGATGTCGACTATAAACTTATTAGGATCGTCAACATTTAAGCAAATGTGATCTGACTGTAGTCTCATCCAGATATATTGTCCCAGAAAAGTGGGTTTAAGGGAGTGTGAAAAAAGGAGATTTTCAAATTTTATTGCTTTAGAAGAGCTAACTTCTTAGTTATGAAGTCATTTTTGTGTACTGAAGCCATTACACCCACGTTTTTTTGGGTTAATGCCAAAAACGGTTCTGCTTATACATGATGCTTTGTGGCACCCCAGGTCTTTTCCGCTAGCAAAAGAAGCCGTAATACTAAGACAGAATATATACCGCTACTGATGTGAATCGGAGGCCATGTCGCCCAGCCGAAGCACGATTTGTGGAATTTTAAGTGCTCGAGAAGCGAAATCGAAGGGTAAAGCAAACAATCAGAGCATTGTCGTTTGTCTGATAACTTCTAGAATCCCATCAGAGGTGAGTGTGTAGGCCGACTCTTTACACAAAAGTGAACTGATGATTTGTGCTAAGGAAAAAACGTTCACCCTTCAAAATATGCGAAAAACAAGCATTGTTCAATTCAAGGGGGGACTTTGAATCTCAAATAAGAGACAAGTTTGAAATATCGCATTAAAGGTGATACCTTTCCGGGTAACTTGCTTCAACGTTCAAGGTGAATGAGTCATCTGTTAAGTAAATAAAATTTGAGGTCTTGCATACCCAGATCGGGACCTGAAGTACTAACGTTGTTGCATCAGTAGTGGTTTAAATAATGAAACTACTCTTGGAGTATAAAGGCACAATAGGCGAATCTCCACAAATTTTGAACAAAAACGAGGCACGTTTTTACGTTTAGTGTACTGTAGAATTGCGCTAGACGGGTGTATTTATTAGCCTAAGTAACCCACAAGGCTGCATTCCCTGCAACCCACTAACAACAACACTTCACTGGGGCAACTTTGATTAAATTTTATGATCCCCTGCATGAAGAGGTGTCTAGGTATCATTGACACTGACTTATCATTTCTACACCTTTTTTTAATTTACCTACATGACTGGAGGGATTTTATCGACAGTATCGTGACACTAGAAGATTTCACATCTACACAAGAAGTTGTGACGACGGTCATCAAAATGACTTGATATTTTTGATGTTAACAAATACGTGAACCCTAATTTCTCGTATCCATTCAGCACGCCCTAATTTTGCAGACATTTCCAGTACATCACCAAGCCCCACCCTAGATCTGCAGTAGGAGTACACTGAAAAGGCTTAATTTCTTAGAGCTAGGATACCTGTCAACGAAAGTTGAAGTAGTAGAGAGGAGTATTAAGAAATTCTATACGATTTTAGAACCTTTTAGCTAAAGCTTGCATATTTTAATGGGTTTTTTGCTAATCCATTATGACGCAAAAGTTTGTAACTTATGCTAATGACTTAATCTGGAGGTCAAGTAAATATAACCCAGTTTAGTAAAATGTTTGACAGCATGACTTTTTTCATATCACTTTTTGAATATGCATGTTTTGAAGATTTTAAGACCTATTAAAGAAGCAGCCGAATTTGTGGGAATCAAACAGAAACGCCTTTAAGCTTAAAGGCTTCTCGGATTTCATTGAATCAAGACAATATCTTTATACAATGTAAAAATTGATTGCTCGGTCCAAGACTTTGATCTCTGCACCTAGAAAAAGTCATATGTTAAACTTCCATTTGTGACACAGAGTAACCAGCAGGGCATTCAATAAACCGGCCAATCAAATGGTAACCTTAGCTTTTTATAAGTTTCTGATTGGCTAAAACCGGTGTCTGCAGCCTTTAATTTGCCAGTGAGGAATTGGCGAAATATAATGCGGTTAAAGGTTAATCTAAAATGGTTTTTTGATTTGAATGAGCTTGATACTTGTAGCTAAAAATGCTGCGCATCGTGTTCTACTCTCAATCGTGTTAAATAAGATACTTGACATATCAATAAATCAGTTAACCAATCGAATGACTTACTTAACTTCATGGAAGTTCCTGAATGGCTGGAATTTGTGCTTTCCGTTTTTGATTTAAAATAGAAATATTAGCAAAATATGTACTCATATTACGGCTTAAGCTCACTTCTCATCCTCTTAAAAGGTAAATCATCCAAAGTTTGCACGAGTTTTAAAAATCTCTATTTACAGAGTACTGAATGTGTTTTGGTCTACTCTAAATATGCAAAAGGCAACATATGCCAAGATATGTAGTAGCGACGATAAGAAAAATGGAAACCCAACCAAAATATTTAACACTTCATACCTTAAAAATTATTAGAGTATTGATAGTAGAATGATAGTTTGCTGACAGCAATAACTCTTCCCCTACATTCCTGCGCTATCACAGTAATCACAAGTAAGGCGGTAAACATGTTTGGGCATAATAAACTACCAACTGTGTGTATCTTGCTGCCTGCTTACAAATATACCAATCAAATCAATGGTGGAGAATATGAAACTCTCCTCATGACCCATACAGGGACGTTTTAGACCAACCTAGGGGTTTTAAGCCTGCAAGAACAGATAAAGACACTGCATCTCATTCGCTCCTACACTGAAGTCACCTCCGATTAGCCAGTGACAACACAAACCTCTACGATCAAACAGACCCCCATCTCCTCCATAAAAGGCCAATTCTATTGACAGAAATTTGGTAAAAAAGATGTGCTTAACATGTTGCTCGCACGAGATTATCATAAAATGGTAGTTGTTGTAATTCTAGCAAAAATAGGAACAGGTTGTGGATTTTAACATTGCATTTTTATCCCGATGGTCCCATGGAACGCCTTGGTGGTCCTTTAAATGTCCTCATTCTTTGGGACAATAAAGAGTAAGATCTTTAAGCTGATTCTACACTAATCGTCAATGGAAGTCATATCTTGACGGTGAGGAAGGGTGAATTAGGGAAACCAATCTGCGAAAACCAGGGACGGAGATCAGTGATAAGATGTTATCCAGACGTACTGCCTTAGAATTAAAGTAAAATAAGAAGAAAATGTTACATCTAATGCCTCCCTTAAATCAAAGAAGGGAAGGTTAGCACAAGACCCTCATCCTGAATGATGCAAACGGTCTTCTTATTAATCAAACAATGGATGATATTTACCATCCACTAACATTCACTCCTAAATCCTTACCTGACTGATGGCAATGTTGCGGACCCTCCTTAATGATTCAATTGGATCAGAAGTTTCGCCCTCTTTGAAAACTGTTTTGGGGAAAGGGAGAATGTGCAGGCCTTCACGTATGTCCAAGGCGTTGTGTTTTCTCGCAAGAATAGGACAAGCTCCCCACTGATTAACATTGGCTAGTCCTGATGATCTCGGCTGTTTTTCAGGGTAAAGCCTTCTTACACGAGGGGGATAGATTGTGGCCACAGCTGTTTGGCCTTCAGCAAGTGAATGATTTCTGGTAAACAAGCCCACTTGCGCTCCTTTTACACCCAGACCAATTGTAGTCCTCTAAGGCTGGCGTGAAGATGGCCGACGATAAAACTTTCCGTTCACTTTTCCTCATCCTAATTTGGTCAATCTCTCAGCGAAATTCCTTTTCTAATGGCGTCTTCTTGTTACATGCACAAAAGATGTGAAAGAATGAACTGGTACAGGGCCGAGCTTACTGGCATCTGTAGCTTCTACCATAGCTCTCTGAATTGGCGTGTTGTAACAAGTTGGCACTTGTGGAATACAACACGCATGCGATGTCAAGTGCTGATAAGGATCTGTCTATCGGTGTCAATTGGACCAAATGTAAAGATTCTCTTCTGCTTACAAGGCGATTTTGAACTTGATTTTTAAGGTGTAGAAACTACTTTTAAAGTCCTCCTGAATAGCATTAAGAAAAGCTGGTATAAGCGAATGCATTACTTAGAATGAAATTGTTTGATTCCGGTGATCAGTACCCTGCGGAAAAACGCATCAAGCTTTAGAAGAAGCCTTCTTTTAGTTAGCATTTGCTAGTTTAAAACGGTATACACATACCTACAGTCTCTCAGTTTTTCCATAGTTTATAAGTAATTGCCTTTCCTACTGGTATGCCTGATTTCTAACCCAAGGGAGTCTCGAGGCGATGTACAGCTTCAATGATTCTCTTTATACTCTTCACTGAATTTAGGTACGCTAAAACAACGCCTTTGAGGAATAACTATATCCTGGCCGACTGGCGTGTGCTGACAAATGTCTTTCGTATGCAATGCAGAATGGAGTGAACAAGCAGTGCATTGAGCATACCCAAATAGTTCCAGCCTCATAATCTCTAGTATTCTTTTGAAGAGTACTGTGGCTATTTTAAAAAGTGAAGTCCGCCATGAAGCTGCTTCTAATTGTCTTATTTTTCATTATAATATACTGTATCGGCTTTTTTGGCTTTGCTGTTCACTACTTGCTACTTAAATCCATATCAGTAAAATGGGATACTTTGTGAGTAAAAGAGTAACATTAATATTTCATCAATGCTAGTGTTTTAAAAGGGAATTTTTGATGAAAAAATATAGCCAAATTTTATTGGGTAAAACCTTAGCACATATTAAGGCAATAAACTCTACCAAACTGTGAAATGAGGTGAGTAATTATATGATATGATAATATGAGTAATATGATATCTACTTATTTCCTTCATCTATCCTTGTTCTTAAACATTCTAGAGCGACTTGCATTTCAAGTACTTTTGAGTCTCTTTTGATTAGCCAGTATTGCTTAAGATTGTACTTAAAATGTGCTCATGCTCCCTTTCATCGCATGGTCACCCGAAAGGAGGAAAATGTACAAAAGTTAGGACTACCCCTGAGTACTTCATTCCATAAGAAGAACGCCGTGCTCCAGTGCCACAGCGATATGCACACGTACCATTCCCCGAGCTGCGGTCTTAAGGTCTTTTCTTCAGAAGTCTTATTCCACCTAACTTTTCAGATTGAAAACACAATCCATTTTTTACTAAAACACCTTGTTAACTCCATTCAAATAAGCAAAAGTGGTACAGATTTCTCAATCAGTAGATATTGCAAGTGATCTTAAGCGTAAACAGTTGTAGAACAGCAAAATTCATTAAAAGCAAATCTTAAACTGAGTTTTTTAATTTTTGCAGGTCTCGGTCGCGGTCTCGTTTTAACATTTCCTCCATATTCACAGATTTTACTATGCTATCAGGGAGGACTGAAACGTTTTATGGAGGTTGTGTTGTTAGAACAGCAGGATTGTTTCCTCTCCTGTAATGCGGGGACAACCAAAGGTAACTTGCCACACTGCAGGTAATTGAAAAGCAAAAAGTACCCTTTTCTCTTGCATATGTCAATCACCCGACTTTAAGGAGAGTACGTCTAAGTAATCGACGCACACTCATTATTGTACACTTAAGAAAGCAAAATAAGGAATAAAGAATAAAAATATTTTTTTCCTAATGACCTTAAGAAAGAACACGATAATTTATGGTTGTTCGCTGGTTGTTCTCGCCACTCATACTGCTGCTGTTAGTGCACTTAATAACTGCGAATTTGGTGCCATTTTAGCCTGAATGGGACTGTCCCCATGTTCGTCCATTTGATTTTATGCTTAAACTCTTGTAAGAGTAATTTAGGATGTTTCTTTTAGATACATCAGTGCAGGTGCCCATTATTTTACTGAAATCTTGCCTTAGAGAGATCATAAGAGCTTATTTGTAAATTAAAAGCGAATATTTTTCCCACACTGACCCATCTGAACACTGTTTATGTTACCCGATTCGTATTGGTAGCAAAAGAAATACCACTTATGATAGTTTGGGAAATTTTTACAAGGTCAATCACATTCTGTTGTCGTCTACAAATAGAGCCAACTAGGGAAGCAATAAAAAGTGTTTCAATCGAAAGCATGGGACGAAAATTCAGAGGAAGTTAATGTGGTAAACCTTTTATTAAATAACTGCGTGGAGCTGATCATAATTTCTTACTCGAGGGAATGGAGGCAAACTGGGAATATTTTTTCGATAATAGAAGACTGGCTCTTTCCTAGCTTTTGATCGTACTCTTCCTGTCACATAGCGTTTCTGGTTTCGGATGTATTGCCCAGCGGTTGTGGGATCAACAATTAGTTCTAGACTATCTTCATGAAAGGTGGAGCTAGTATAACCCGAAGATGACGACGAATCAATGGTCCATGTTCGTTGATGTCTACGCGGCTCTTTGAACATGTTTTTGTGCCGATGTTGGGTTGGCTGGTGCCGCTGTCTCGATGCAGCTGGCCTGGCAACATTTCTCAAGCAGTCAATTGGTGGAGGTAGGGATCTGGGTCGAGATCTTGGTGGATACAGCATTGCTGAATCGCTGTCATCAAGGGTCTCTAACGTGGACTCATCATAATCAGTGAAAGATTCCCCTGTCACTGATGACTCTGTCCTTGGATGGTGAGGACGATAGCACTTGTAGTTGTGGGACAAATTGACAGGGAAGTTCGAATATGATTGGCATTTCTCCGATGACGGTGCATAAGCCTTGGGATGATGGTTTGAAAGCTTCAGGTTAATGCCAGAGCGTTGTACACAACACGGACAGTGGTGTATCGCATCTGCACTTTCATCTCTGGTCACCGTTTGCTCCTCCTCCTCCTCCTCCTCTTGCCCCACTGTCCCCTCCCCCTCAACACCACTGGTTTCCAAGATGTTAGAGGCTTTATTTATTGACATATGCAAGTCAGTAGACATCAGATCATGGTGGGCTCTCACCTCAGGTTCCTCCCACATAATGTAACTCGTTGCATAGCCTGCATTCAAAAGTCTATGAATTGGCAGCTCTGAGGCAGTTTCATCCTGTTTCAAGTTCTCCTTTGATTCCGGTAAAGGAGAAGAATTACTTATGCGTTGGGATGTCCCCGCCTTTGCACTTTGGCTTGCTCGATTTTTCGAATCCGGCACGAATCCTCGCTTATTTTCGAGGTTGTTTATAAATCCATTATAAACGGTTTGTTCCGTGAATGCAAAGGAGGTAACTAAGGCTGATTTGCCCTGTCGCCAACCCACATGAACACAGAGGTCATCGTCATTTGGTATAATTCTTTCCACCTGTGTAAATTTGATCTTCTTTATTGGTGGTTTTTTGGCATTTTTTTCTGCAGCAAATTCGATACGATCATTGAAGATTTTCCCGATATATGTGGTGGTGGCAATGGATGCGGAATGCGAATTTAAGCATTCTTGCCTTAATACTGTTTCAAGTTGCTGGTTTTTCCTCAACTTTGCATGATCAAGAAAACGCAGGGGGGTCCTTATTTGCACCTCTTTGTTCCCCTTTGTGGGTCCGGAGGGCTTATCCATAGACTCGTGAATGTGCGCTGCAGCGTGAATGGTAATAAATGTGAGCGAGTAGTAAGCAGAGAGGTTGAACTAACACAGCGACATTACTGGATGTGAGAATAATTAGCTTATTGAAAAAGGTTTTCCAGTTGTGCCAATAGATGACGGCACAATGTGTGCGAATAGTCAGGCATTCAAGTGACGCTTCTCATCAGGGGTATGAGAAATTTGAAGCGCATGCCATCAGACTTTAAATGGATAATTAGCACTGCTACTCCTTTTGTTACCAATAGATTGTGAAAATCATCACATTCAAATGTTTCAGCTTTTGACTACCAACATTTTTATGCAGTGTTGCCATAAAGATAACTTCTTTTATATTCTAACACAACTATCCCAGATCGTATTTAGTTGATTCAAAAAGTGTGACATTTCAGACTGTATAGCAATAAAATGCTCTTGAATTCGTAATGACAAAAGCATTTGTATATAAATTTGCCAAAGTGAATAGATAAACCTATATAAAATAAAATCTTCTGTCGATTTTTTCAGAACATTGTATAAGGAGGATTTTTCCAAATTAAACATTTGACCTTGAGGAGTGTTTTATTTGACGAGGTTGAAGATTAGTTAGATGCGTCAAATCTACTTCTCCACCTCGAATTAGTCCATTGTGCTTGCCCAGATGTTTCATTACTATGTAATACCACTACAACTTGCATTACCCAAACGGTCAATTTAAGTGGTGTTGGAAGAATGAATCAATGCAGCCATCCTGAGACTGATAACTGTCTGCATCTATTTTGCTATTTCAAATCCAATTTTTTTCGTCTGTGGCAAGATTAGTTGAGTGAGGTACACATCCTACAAGTAAAATAATGAAATACACATGCCAATGATAGGTGAGACGTACGATTTAAGTTAAGGAAATCAAGACATAACGTGTATGTGGCACGGGTGGGTTTAAAGTGTCTTTCTGTCGCAGAAAATTGTATCATAAGTTGGTTTTTGAGAGTAGAAGAATATTTTTGTGGTTTAAGCATTTAATATTGACTAGTCAACCATAGCTATGACGGTGAGAGTGCACTTACTTTGGATGGATGACTTGAAGGGTCCTTTCTGTATTTTTCACCAATTCCTACCTTACAATATTATTTCCGCATTTATCTTTTTAAAGAGTTGTAAGCAGTGGGACTGCAGAAGATTTATCACATCTTTGACAGGCCCCCGAAAGTCAAATCCCTTTCCTTCAATAATCTTCACTTTCACAGATAAACATGCCAAATTGAGTTTTGCAACGCGTAGCACATCGTTAACCGCTTGGATCATTATAAAAGCGAAAGTTTTTTCCCAAGACTGACTAAGGAGAAATTTTGAAATACGCTCATGCACACATAAATTCCTGACTCATGAGAAGCCACCCGCTTAAGCGCTCATAAAGCCAAAATTTAATGCTTCCCGAAAAACTACTCATTAATTGTTTAGCATGGAACGACATGCTTGATTGGGCGAGCTTTGCTGCTTCTTATTTTGACTTAATCTTTATCTCTCTCTTAGTAGCCAGAGGACCGTCTACATTAAAGCACATTACAAAATGCACTCTAGCATTTCATTTGCAAACATATCTACTCCAAACACCTGTATGCATCCTTGATAAATCTATTTATTACTTATTTGATTGTTGATTTGTTTGCTTATATTTGCAGTAAGTATGCATACTACTTGTGCTTTAACATAGTGTACCTAGGTCCAATTATATAATAGCGCAATGCAAAAATAACAAATTCAGCTGAAGAGCAAATAATTTATTAATATAACTTGGAAGTGGGCGCAGCTCTTTTGAAACTCTGTTTAAGCCTATTCTCTAGTTAGAGGGGAAATTGGCTTCCGACTTTACTAATGTGCTCGCGTTTTTCTGTGTCAATAGTGCTTGAGAAGAAGGCAGCTCCATCTGCGTCAAGGGATTATAAGCGCATCATACTCACACTTGTGGATGTGGACGATTACACTGAGCGTCAATGTCGCATAACCGGCATCTAAAGTACGCATACTACTTTTGATATCATAAGTAAATAACTTTTTACGATTTACTTGGTATCAACGAAATATGCATTGATACTTTTACCTTCGTAAGGCTCTGTTATCCACATCTTGTGTGTGTTACTTTGTCGGTAAATGGAATGTTGAACAGATAGGTAAAATTTAAAAATGGAACGCAGTATCATGGTGTGGAATGCATGCGCATCACGTCGCCTTTCCTACCAACATCGCATCTACGGGGAATATAATCCTTTACAACTTGCAGTAGATGACTGGTTGCACAGGATTAAACCACAAGAAAATCTGTTGGCACAAGAGTAATGAAATAGATTTAAGTTGTTCTTGTTCCACGAATAAATTCTTTTCTGGTTAGTCTGGCTTTGAATAGGACATAGCAATGGTGAACTGTAGTAGTCGATTTTTCTTCAACATCCCAAATGCCAGCAATTCTTTGCAAAATAAGCTTAAAATACGCGCATTCACTATAGTTTTGCAAGTACCTCTTTTTGATAAGTTTCAGTGCAATTTTAAATGTTAATTAACTTTCTACATTACATATTACTAAAAACAAGCGCAAAAGGAAAGTAAGCAGAGTAACATCAAAATAAAGGTCTACTTGCGTAAATAGCTACTTAATGTTAAGCCTTAAACTAGAGGTAAGACACAGCCTTGTTTGAGCTGACTAGTGCATTTCCCCAGGTTCCAAGTCAATCAGGTAGATGGGTTGAGATTTCCCGCCTCTGTAGGTCACGTAGGAAGTTCCATTCTTTGACCAATTGTCTGATTTATGACTCTGACGATGATGGCGCACTTTTCGACTATGACCTGGCAGTTTCTCAATCTTGTACTTCTTGGAGTCGAAAACAAACATTCGACCCTCCTTAGCTACACTTTTCCCATTGCGTGGATTGATCGCAATCAGCCGTACTAGTGAGATGTCCTGGTCATACGTTCCGCTACTACTGCTGCCGGTGCTGCTGGTACTACTGCTGTCACGGCTACTACTGGAGTCGTCAAATCTGGTTTGACGAGAACTTCTGCCACGGTGTGAGCTACCTTGACGTTCTTGGTGGTAATATGGAGGATAGCGAGCCAAGGACTGTGAGCGTGCTTTCATGAGGGAACTGTCAATAAAAACAGTTCTCAGAGTGCCATCCTTCATGGAGGAAGATGAGGAGGAGGAAGAACGGCCTCGGGGATGGGAGAGAGAAGACTTGGCATCTCGTTTACTGGGAGGTATAAAAGATGGTACAATCTTTTTTTTCTGAGTTTTGAAGTTTTCATATTCTTTTAATAATAGACGAAATTATACATATAACGCATGGCTTCCGTGGTTTAAGAATATTTATTGAACAATTTCAGTAATAATAAAGAGTTGGGATCGTCTATAACCCATTTAAATCAATTTTTTTTGATTAACAAATACTGAAATTATTATTAACTCTCATCTGGGAAATTTGAGAAAAGCCTTCGTATAAAATTTATGATTTGGGTGGGAGCTCCAGTGCGTTTTTCGCACCACTACCTCAATCAAAATGCCCTTTTACAGTTGACAAAATAAACTTTTAACTTCCCTTATTCTTTGCAGCACAGTAGACTGAAAAGTTGATAGGCTGTTAAAATGTGAGATCATAAGCCTGTTCATTTTTTTTGCACTTTAACTAACCTCCATTAATAGTGGAATGTGTCACAGTGGTTGGCAAATTACTCTGTTATGATCCATAGCAATATCCTGGCTCCGATGTCAAAAGTAATGCTGTTGTTAATTACAAATGAAATTCCAACCAACTATTGACGCAGCTCCCTAAAACCTGACATAGTTGAGTAAGAAGCGAATGCTATCTATGTTATTCCTGAATTTGGTACCTTTTCAATTGGTAGCTATCACAATTAGCGACACACCTAAAGAAACTTTTTTCTAATTGCCTCTGTGTTGAGTATTCATTTTCTGCTAACTGGCTAGACTTTCCCCATTCGGCCCTCTCTGCCTTCCGCCAGGGCGCAAATCGCAGTGCATACCTCGACGGGTGAGTTTTGAAGACATTTGTGGGAGGCATGTCTACGTCAAGATCCCATTTCAATTAAGTTGATGGAACCTCTAAGACTTCATTCGTCACATCTTGCACATGGGGTAAGGGAAATTGCAAACACCTCAAAGGGGTGGTAACACCAAGGCTGAAGGGCTATTAAACACTCAAGGGAGGATAAGTGCAGGCTAGCTCATTGCATTTTGCAAATCAGGAGATTTTAACACAGTCATGGGGTTAAGGAGCTAATTGCTATCCAATTTCGCACCTCATAATGGTAAGCCTCAAACATACATGACGTCAAGAGTGTTTTGTCTACTTAGAAACGAAAGTAGTATAATCCTAGTTTGCCACGATATTTACTTTAATGTTACTCAAGAGTGGCGTTAGGGGTAAAGGCGAGGTCCTGATTTTCTAGATTCGCTAACAGATTCAACGTCGGCCGTTTCGACATTGACGTGACTGATGAATCAGTCTTAGGTATAAAGCCAAAGGGGTGATTTGGAACGCTTCCAAAAACGACCGTCTCGTTTAGTTATCCTCATCCCGTAAAAAAATAAAGCATTTCCTGCGTGTAAACCAAAAGAAACGATTAAAATATCCCAAAATTATAGCCTGATGGAACAAAGGTGGAGTGAGCAAGGGGTTACATTGACCTGTCTAAAACTGTGCAGGATTTCTCAAAAAAGTCCACTGAAATGGATCACATTACCCATATTACATTATTTTTATGGTGGATTAGGTTTATTACCCCCATGCTCCTAAAATCCCTATAAAATTGCAATTTTTAAATCCGCTTGCGGCAATCGAATCCTCTGCACCAGGCTCATTCTCGCCCTCAAAACGCAAAAAATGGCTAACTGGTCCATTTCAAATCCAAAAAACAGGATTTTAGTGTTCTGCCCAAGTAAAATAAGACTCCCTACCCTGTGAATTTTGAGATCAAGGTTCTTAATCTTGTGTCAAATTCAATGACCTTAAGCTACTGCCTTGGTCGAGCAGGAGCCTCATTGAAATGCTACACCAAACTGATAACAAAAGACAGAAACTTTTGCCCAATTTTTCTTAAATAGTCATTGCTTCTAGTGCGTAACTCTCACAGGGAGCCAAGAGTTTGGTTTATAAGACAGGATATCTCGGATTGCCCATTAAATGATACATTATACCCCCAATACAATGACCAGAGTTTTTTCCAACTCTGGCTTGTTTTAATTAGTCATAGTCAACTTTTTTTTCAAAGGCAAATCAAGTTTTTGCCTTTTTTAAAAAATGAAATCAATTTTTAAAAGGACTTAAAATGAATGGGAACACAAATTTAAACAGGCGCGCCACTTTTGCAGCCAATCAGCTCTAAGCAAGCACCAGAGAATAGCAATCGGAGCTGCTTGCGATTGTAGGCGTCATGCAAATAGACAAAGTTATGCAAAGTTAAGGCAGATCGCATTATATACTCTGTGTGTGAATAAGCTCGTTGTCATTTAAAAGGTAGGGCATGAACTTTTGACTTTACTTAGCGATACATTTCAGTAACTAGCAACTACTGCCTGCATAGTTGGTTTTTGCAAAAATCATCATTAAAGCTAAGAATACTCATAAAAACCAAGTATATTAAGCATCTATAATATGATCATGCTAGACCAGTGTAAAGGCGACGACAGCAAATGGGCGCCTCCTTGTTACCAAGGCTGACGTGACGCAAAGGGGCTAAAACTCACCGTGCCATCTTTAACTCCTATTCCAGTTGCAAATGTCTGCACAAATGAAAAAACGATCATGTTCATGTCAATTAAGCTTATTTAATGTAGTGTCAGAAGCCTATCTAATTGGATTACGGTTCCACTTTCGTGCATCCTGTGTGGCTTCTTTGTGCGTGTGTATGCGTGTGTAATAGTGTAAAGATTGTGCTTTGCGAAGAAAAGTATGAACGCCCTCGAGATGAGCGCAAAGCGATGATGATAATTAAGAAAAGTGCGAATCTCCTCACTCCTCCACGGTCCTCGAGGTGCATTGTGAAGAGCCTTTTAAATGTGAGTCTTTAAAATGATTATATAAGGAGCTTCACCTTTATTCCGTAGTAAAAGTGAATTTTTTAGGGTCGCAAGCTAATTTTTCTCTTACCCTAAGGCAAAATGTTAGATAATTTTGTGAAACTGGTTATATTTTGAACTCATCCGCCCCCTGCCATGCATCAGTCATTTACGATAGCAGAGCGGGAGGAACGAAGTCAATCCTTTCGGTGACATTGTGAAAATTGTAAAAGTGCACACCTGTCATCACGCTGTGAAAGGAAAAAAAATACTTCTTTCCAGATTAATAGTACAGAATGAAATCCATTAACATTTTTCACTTTCCGGAGTGAGGTTATGCAAATCGTTCGATAACTGTACATTGAGTATGCGGTACTTGCATTTGCGAAGACCTAAGTTCTTCCCAACTGTAATAAGGTTACTAACTTTTTCTGACAAACGCCTTGTCAAAAAGGTGTGGAATGCATTTTTATCTAATCCGAATACTTAGACTCAACACTTTAAACGGGTGTATACGGTGGCATTAGGACAGAAGAAGTGGAAAGTTTTTTATTTAAAAATGTGAACTGAAACTTGGTAAATTTCTAAGGCTTATCAAAGAAAACCTACACATCTTAAAGAAATCGCTAAGCACTGAAATTTGGCACAACTCCCCTGAAGACAAAAGAAGTCGCAATATTAGGGCGATTAGGTCAGAGACCGCTAGTATGCGTTGAAGGCCATCTCTCTCAACGGAGCCTTAAGCACCCAGGCAACCAAAACGAAGAGTTCAACAAGCAGTCAAGGCATCGCGCAGCCTCCTTCCTCTCCTCATCTTAAGCGTCATCTCGGGCGCTCCCCCTGGTCAACCGCCCACGTCGGCCATCGCGATGTAGTGGGTGATGTAAGAAAAGCACGTACCCACCAACCGCGTCAGTTGCATGCAACTGAGATACTAACTGACTGCAACGCCACTGGTCCCTCTCTGCACTTCCACTGGATCTAAAGTTTCGTTCTGCTTGAGAACCGTATCGAGGGAAGGGGAAATGTGTTGGCCATCACGCATGTCCAATGCTAGCTGCATGAACAATGACCTCAAATCAGAGTCACAAAATAAAGGACAGAGTTAAAAATATTTTCGTGTGGATAACGTTTTGCGTATATCTCTCCTTGTCACCTTGTTCTCACTTAAGTGAAATTCAGTCATATTCAGTTGGTTTCTATCCAACTAGAAGAGGGATGGAGAAGGTCTTGTGTGTTCGCCTTATTAACTTCTCCATTTAGACACCATGAACAGCCTCCTTGCGAAATATTCCAAGTAAATTACGGCTAGCGACCCTTTAGTTGTTAACAGCAATTCTACTGAATATGAGACTCGAGTAGTTGCCAAAAGTAGACTTCATTTCCAACCCTTCTGTGATGGGCCGTGGCAAATTCGCCCATCCATGGCACATGCCTTTCTCCCGGCAGGTTAAAGTCTAGCATTCAGGGGTGGGAATCGGGGTACTTGTCTCTCTAGGACCAAGTTTGCTTTCCGCTACCACCGGTATAGCGTCCAGAGACTTCATGGAAGATGAAAGTGGGCATAATATAACGGCTACTGGCATTGTCTGGAGGTCATGCAGCCCAGCGGAACTACTAAGTCGGAGCCTTAGGTGCCTGCGTATCCAAAACAAAGAATTAAATAAACAATGGAAGCAGTAAATACTAAAATAAGTCAAGTCAAACATACTGTCATGTCATACACATCGGGGAATGGAATTTCCCGAACGATCTTTGAGTCAGAAATATTGGTTGTACCCTTGCTTTTTTCCTCCATATTTTCCATCATAACTAATCCAACTTATTGTAAAATTTAATATAATTTTAGAACCAGAAAATTTTTCTGACACCCTAGAAATCATTTAGCATTTGTGACGCGAGCGAAACGACCTGTTTTGTATTCACTGCGGATGACGTGGTAGACAGTCTTCGGAACACCGTGGCATCGGAGATGGTCTTCAATCCTCCTACTCTAAGGTGCTTTTCTTTTCGTGGATCAAGTTTGCATTGTGTGTTTTTGCTTCGCGTCGGAGAGGTCTTTCTCTTCACCAAATATTCTGACTGCTTCCAAAAAAACTTTTTCCTTGCAAACATTATGTCAAGCCAGAATAGGTGGTTGACCTTAAATGCGCGAACAGTTCCGTCTGCAGTCCACAATGCACACAAAGCGTGACTCCAAACGAACAAAAGCCGAATTTTGCTACAAGCCAGTTCTTTAAGAGGTAGTTTATACTGCATGGTGCATGAAAGTCTTTGATGTTTACCATCGTCACTTTATGACGCATAGTATGCCTAATCTTTTCGCTTAGCCGTCACCACACCCTTCTTCTTCTGGTTGATAGATGTGAAAACACATTTCTCATTATCATTTACCTTCCATACAATAAAGAGCTATCCTTGTCAGCCTTGTTAGCAGTCTTCTTTTGCATTGAGAATCAGGGGCATGTTGAAAGTGACGCATCATCATCTGGCCTAACTACTTAAATGATTTCTAAGTAGGGCGTTCTGCTTCTACGCTCTCTTCATGTGCCGATAAGATTTTCAGTTCAAGTCACATCTATGTCATTTTCATAGAAAATATACATAGTGACAAAGTGATAAGGAGGAAATTAAGGAATTCTCTGTTACAATGCATGAATATAAGCAATTAAATGGATGACACAGTTACTTAGAGGTCCTTGCATCGAGTCGCTGCACCAGACTGGGCTAAAAGCGCACAAATTCATTTGAGTACCCGTTGGATGAGCAGGTCTAATCCAGAAGCTACAAGTCGGTTAATTGCCGTACCTCTATGACATCATTAATTCGCGTGATTGCAGATTCACGCAGACAATACATGAAATGGCATTAGCCTACTATTGTCCTTTGATTAGATAAGTGATCTGATTAGTAAAACCCACTTAGGAAAATTTTATTAAATAAAAGTCATTCATTATCCTCTTCGGCAAAAAGTAGCATTTTAAAGTCAAGTAAACTAAGGCAAAAATGAGTAATTAGATTCATATTGGACTCACCAGGACCTCCATTCATGTTAACATCCACTTTTTTAAACATTAAAGTCATGAAGCGTTGCCTTTTAAAATTCTACCAAGATTCTTAATTTGGCAGATTTTGAACGCATATTTGGCGTAAAAAATGCTTTTGTAGTCCCCCACCGACATCGAACGAACCCATTTTAATCAGGCTTACCTGATTCCTAGGAGTGGTCAAAACCTCAAAATTGTACTTTTGTAAAAAAAATGCCAAAAAACGAAGCAGCGTATACATGACAATGGGCGAAATTCAAATTACTCAGAGAATCGTACGACTAACCGTGTCTAGCTGCTCCAAAGGAAGTATTGGCAAGTTGGGGAGCACAACAACTATCTCACAAACGACTGAACGAAGTAGAACAACGTAAGGAAGGCATTTTAGGACCATCAATGAAGCGCAGAGGCCTCTTTACCTAAAGAAAGTCCTTCAATGTTGAAGAGCACTATGTACCGGCAAATATATTTCCAAAGATCAGTGCAAGAAATCGCGTAAAGTTGAGCAATCGAAGGCTCTCTTACCGTTCTACAATTTTAGCTCTTTTGTTTAGCAAGTGGGATAACTCAACCAAAACTCATGTTGAGAAGGCTTATTACAAGGTTTATTTTGGTCGTCACTTAAAAGGTGTCCTAAGTGGAAGTACTTTTGCCAAGTAATGCTGCTAAATGATATTTTAAAAACTTTTATCCGACATGATGAGGTAGCAAATTTTTGTCCCGGATTTATTCCAGGCAAAGTTTGCTTGATGGAATAATCTGCATGTAATTTTTCTCCTTTAATAAAATAATTTCGTGGGAAAAGGATGGATTTTGAGGCCAGAGGTTCAGTGAAGAGAAAATGTCATTAAGTAGAGGGTGAAGTAAAGCGGAAGACAAATCAACATGTGCAATGTATTAGTGGTTTGATTTGACAATTCATGACCAGCAATAACTTAAATAAGCTAATTAATCTTTACAGAAGTCCTACTGACACTTTTAAGTAGCAAGTTCAAGGAGGGTTGGCCTGAGCCTGATAAGGTTGATGAGTATTTTCACAATCCAGTTAAGACGTCAAAGTAAGGCCCTCAAGCTGAGAAAAACACAACCGAATATTATTTATTAATCAGGTCTTATACACTGCATGATCTTGGAAGTCTGCCTTTCCACGTTTGTGACTTGGCTAATTTATGCTTATTTGCTTTGCTGTAAAATATATTTACGGCTTACTTTGCTAAACGTAATGCTAAATCCAACTCTATAGAGCAGTTTCGTGCATCAAACACCTTAAAAATGGGAAATCGGCCTTTAAATAGCCAAGAATGCTTGCGTCAAATCACTGTGTGTGTTCTAAACATCGCTAGTTTTAGAAAGAAAAAGTTTCCGTTCAAGTTCTTTTTAAAAGTGGATCGATCAAGGCAGTTCTTCATTACTCCTTGACCTTTACATTCTTTGTGGCCTTTTACATTAAGACGACTATATTTTTCGAGTTCCCTCAGAGATCGACTTTTTGCTCCATTTCTTTCCCTTGCTGAAAGTCTCAAAGAAATTATTTTTCACCTTGACACCACTTATGATGAGAATTACCGTCCCCGGTTACAACTCACCGCTTTTAAAATTCCACTAATCATTCGTTTTTGCTGCAGTATCTGTACCAGTGGTGGATGTTTTCCCTCATCATTTCAAAGGATTAATGCAAATTCCTTAGTAATATTTTGCAAATAATAGAATTTATCGGAAACACTTTTGAATTGTATCGACGAACAACCTTGTAACTAACTTGGAGATACAGAAATTAGAAGTAAGAATTGGTAAATGTGCCAAAATATGCAAAGTTTAATAGTTCACAGATGAAAAGGTAGATGTCACACCCCGCAACCTCTGCAATAAAAGAAAAACCGCCTCAAATCCAAAGGATAATCTTAAATGACAAACGCAAGTACAGAGACCTAGCGATTACCAGTGAAAAAGTCCACACTTGGAAAAAGGTAGATGTGCAGTGTGGTACCACCCTAGCGCCATTAGGTGTCATCGTCAGACGCCAGGATGATGTTAAAACAATGCGATTGAAGGAAGCTGTAAGAACTAAGGGTGTGGTTTTACAGTCACTGCTCTGGGCTACATCTGACTCACACCCTCAAATCTTCATCATTCTCACAATTGAGGGCTTTCAGTGAGGGTTGAATGAAACACCGATACTTAGGCTGCTTTCACTTCACCGCGAGATAGGAAGGGATCTGTGATTCCTATTAAAAAACGTCCAAGGAAGCTGCTTCATGCTATGATGAAAGGCGTATGAAGTTCTGATATTCTAAGAATTCAAACAATTATAAGTGGATCCACATATTCTGAAAAAATTATCCAGTATAAATGGTTAAGCTACCCAGTAAACTTCATTCTAAGCTATTAAAAATGGAAAATAAGGTATTTCTTAACTGGCTAACATTTTTGTTTCTCTCATCTCCTTAGACTAATCCGTTTATTTTTATAAAAGCCCATGACGCAAAGTATAATACCTAGTGCAGATCCATGAATGGTATGCATTTCGGCGTGCACGCAATTCTGACTGGGCCTGAAAGGGTGGTTTTAGGTGTCTCCAATTCATCTAGGCAAAATTCTAGCTTCAGACAGAGGTGAAGTATTAAAGAGTTTGTTTTCTGTTATTTGGTTTGCCAGGAAAAAAGCCTGCAAAGGCTTTAGCCTCTAGAATATAATCTACCTTATTAGAGCAGTCTCCAATGCCTCATCACTGGAGATGATTTCACAGACATCCAGCCAACCATCAACTGCAATGCCACCAAAGTCAGCCTTATTGCCGAAATACCTTTCCCCTTTGCCGCCTTCTTTCGACTGACGTCCTGCAAAAGGCAATATTCAAAAAAAAGGTGGAAATAAAAATGAAGGCATTAACTTTCTTGCTAGATCAAAAACTATCTACTTTCTTTTAAGTGCTGTAAAGCTGAGCAGGCTATTATAACTAGGTAATATCTCAAACAAACATTACTTCATGATCTCAAAAAGAGCGGAATTTAACTAGGCGACAAGAGGAACAAGCGGAACCATTTCAGGATAGTGACTTTGTACAAGTAGTAAAGAAATGCGATTATTATTTTAAGAAGTGTCCAATGGACGTGGATTTTTTTTAAATAAGGGGAGTGGAAAATGTTTTGTTGGAAAACGGAATATTAAAGATCTCCGGCGAACGCGGCAGTACCAAGTGCTCGCAAAATCTGCACTCTGGCAGTATCTGCGCACCGCGCTGACAGGAGAGAGGGAAAGAAAGAAAACATACATCAGATTATTCGCACTGCCATTCAGCTTCTCCTTTGCTGCCTCATAGATCGCGATGCTCAGCACTTGGCTACTGATGGTAAATTTGTGTTTACACACCGTGACAACTGAAAGATTTGCATTATCCAAGTGCTCACGCCTACACTGACTAATGTATTGCAACCAGAAGAAGAAACAAAAAAGAATAGAAATAAAAAAAGATGCGAGACAAAGATGGGAAGTCAGCTTTCATCCACACTAATTTGATTGTTCCTACGTCAAATACATCATCTTTAAATAACAAGGTCACTAGTCGCCGACTTGTTTTTCGGATTCACGCAGGAATAGAACAAATCCCCCATTCGCGACAACGACACTTGTTTGCAAGCAGCATCGCCGAGCGGTCCAAGTATTTCCAGTATCCCCTTTGACACCGAATGAAGGGTAGCTGATATCGGCTGATACCTCGATTATCGTATAGTTAAAACAGTTACTTCTGATAGAACGTCGATCCAAGAAGTATGCCAAGGGCATGTAATCTGATACTTTTTTGTTAAGGCCTAAATTATGAGTGCGTAGGCCAAATCTTTAACATTACCTAGTGACTGAATGTTTAAAATGCAGAGATTGGGCAAATTTTTGCCTTGTAAAAAAGAGTTCTTAAATAGCTTTGAAAACTTTTAGGTCGGATAATCTGACCCTCTGGTTGTTTGGGCTAATCATGCACTATTCAAACTGTGCCACACAGGGCACTGTTGCATGGCTATTTGTCTGGCTTATTTGGGTGCGTAAAAGACTCTTTTTAAGAGGCAATCATTTCTCATTCATCGAATTAGACCTACTTGTTTTAAATTAAAACGGATTTGCCTCTTCATTTATTTGGTGCAAAGCCATAATTAAACCATATAATGCTACCAGGTTTTAATAAATCACCGATGCTCTACTCATTCTTTAACGAAGAAAAGTGAATCATTAGTGGGTGAGTCTGGTGTGACTAGTAAAAGCACCCCCATTTGAGTCATCTTAGAGTCCCACGGCTTCCTTAATAGCTTCGCTTGCGGGTGTGGAGTCACATGCAATCTAACAAAATTGCCTTGTATACTGAATTCCCAGTGTGTTGACGATCTGCCAGTTGACGCAGTCTCAACCTGTGATTTTGGCATCTCTCTGCTCATAGACTAACAGGGTTTAAAGTCGGTTACCCGACTAAAGCCTCGCGATGGAGAGGGGCGAGATGACACTAACCAATTAAATTTAAGAGATTCTTCTTTAATAAAGCATAGATACTTATGCCATCAAGCGCATAACTTGCCTGAACCTGGTCACAATGCTGAACTTTTCCAAATACAGATTAAGTAAATTCATGCGCAAGGATGAAAGAAGTTATTCCAGCTGCATAAAATTCACTTAAGACAATCAATTTGTTTCTAATTTTTGCCTTAATAGACCTAAATTGGAAGATTATTCCTGCAAAAAACATCCTTGAAAAGAAACGTTATTTTTTTAAGAAGGGTAAATATGTCCAAACATGACCTCTTTATTTGAAATAAAAGCCCCAAAATGCAACGTTCTTATGTGGCGTGTCATTTTTTCGCTACGCAATAAATTCGAATGTCATGGTCAGGAATTGAGTGACCTTTTGGCGTTTAAAACAACCAGGAGTACCTTAAATAGATGTGCTTGTAAACTAAATAGACATTTTAGTTGTCACTAATTTATATCGATGCATGCCGCCTTTAATTACCACCCGTCACTCAATACCGTTAGAGATGCGCAGACATAACAAGCTAACCACATTATCAAGGTGTAATGACTGACTCCTAAACCGAAGACTGCACACCTAATCGATGTCGTAGAATTTTGCGTGGCGTATGCGTACGTGCACAGGCAAGCGATTGCATGGAGGCTCATGATTGTGTAGCTGAGTGGGTGAATATGTGAGTAAGAGAGTAGAGGAGTGGGTGCTTAAACAGCACCCTCATCCTACAGTACTCGATTCTCGTTGGTTAACCACCCTAGCATATAAGCTGCCCTCCTTTTCTCACCTCCACTCTAATCCAGTAAAGCAGTGTAGACAAGCTTCTTAGTCTCCAAATCATAACCCCATATTTGTGTTCTCAATCAGCATGGCTGCGGAATCATCTAAGGTTATGGTGGAGTTGATGAAGATGAAGAAATTTAAGAAGGACACTGGCTATGAGGCAGCTATGAAGAAACTCTACGAGCAAGTGAGGAAGGGCAAAGCAAAGACCTTGACAGCAAATATTCAAACTGCCAAGACCACATTCACGCCCGGTAAAGGAAAGCCTCCGATTCCTGCTATGCTTAATAGCAAAGTAAAACAAGTGAAAAAGGGTCCAGCCAAAGATAAGGTTATTGTGGCAGCGATAGATGGGGATGCAAAAAAGAAGACTTACATTGTAGCTCTGCGATTCGCTACAGAAGAGAATGCGAAGTTATTTTATGATACTACTAAAGCAAAGGGTGTAGTACCACCGGAACCTGGGCAATCTTCAGCACCGGAAGCACCAGCACCAGAACCACCAGCATCAGCAACACCACCACCACCACCACCTCCGGCATCATCGCAAACGGACGAACCATCTAGAACCACCTCCTTGACACCGATTACAATGGATCGAGTCTCAACTCCTGTGCGCAGCTCACATCATGTACCAACTAGATCAGTAACGCTGGATAGCATTACGCGAAATAATAGCAATTCGTCTTCTGTGTCACGACCAACCATTAACGATATGTCAGCGAGACGAGCTGAGCCGCCATCAGTGGCAAGAAGTCCCTCAATATCATACCAGTCAAAGTCTAATCCATTAACTCACACTACACCCGTAACCCGAGTGTCCATGTCTCTGTCATCCAGCCCATCACTTTCTGAGAGAGAGGCCTCCAAATCGGCGTCTAAGATAAGTAGTCTAGACCCTGCATTAGAGTCACGAACCACCTTCATATCGACCGATCCTAGCAACTATAGACGCAACCGTCAACGCAACAGCTCGCGGGGACAGATCAATGGGGACAAGACGAGTTCTAAGGCTAACGAAAGTGAATATAAACACTACCGTCCCAATTCATCGAGGAGGTCTGCTGGGTCTGTGCGTATCTTCCAGCTTACACCTGGTAATAGCCCAGGC